CCGAGAGGCTGCTGGCAGGAGGGGTGAGGGCAGAGATGGGGGTGTGGGGCTGCTGGCGGGAGGGGTGAGGGCAGAGATGGGGTGCGGGGCAAATGACCCCCCGCCTTGGGGCTGACGTGCAGTGTGCACATATAAAAATTCACTGATGCCAGGCGCTGGTGGCTCACGCCCGTCATCCCAGCTCCTCAAGAAGCTGAGATCTGAGGATCACGGTTCGAAGCCAGCCCAGGCAGAAAAGCCCATGAGACCCTTCTCCCCAGTAAACGGCTCAGAAAAAGCCAGAAGTGGCGCTGTGGCTCAAGTGGTAGAGCACTAGCCTTGAGTACAAAGAGGCTCGGGGACAGTACCCAGGCCCAGAGTTCAAGCCCCAGGACTGGAAAAAAATAAAAATTCACTGCACTGGGCCGTCTGGGCTCTGGACCTGTTTCGTTGTACATTTTACTATTTATTATTCCATGGCAGGTGATTGTTATGAAAAAAGAAGGAAAAGGGACCGGGCAGGAGCGGTTTGGCCCCAGCTGCCGGCGTCCTCTGAGCTGCCGGCGTCTCTGAGCTGCTGGAGGCCGCAGACCCCATGCAGCGCGTCCGAGAACCGCGGACAGACAGATCAACAGTGCACGTGAAGGCGTGGGTCCGAAATGCTGCCGCTGCCTCCCCAGGGCGGGAGAAAGTGAGTAAAACAGGGTTCTGCTCCTCCCGGGGACGTGTCGGGTTTCCTGTGGTCCCCCAAAGCCCAGAGCTGCCCAGTGGACGAGTCGGCGGACGAGCGAGAACCAGGCACCCACCTTCACCACCTCCTCGCCGTCCACGATCTTCAGCTTCTCCAGATTCTCCTGCAGCAGCTGCGGCTTCATGCGCCACTTCAGCAGCCCCAGCAGACCCACTGAGGCAGAGCCGGGCGGGGGTTCCGTGAGTGGCCAACTCCGTCCCCTCCGTCCCAGCCCTCCTCCGTGGGGCATGTACACCCGGGGGAGCGTGCCCGCGTGCCCGCGCACGCCCCCATACACACACACACCACGGGCAGCTCCCAGGGGTTACCGTTCTGGGTGAGCTTGGTAGAGCACACCAGGGTGGAGATGGAGAAGCTGTCTCGGGAGCTCGCGGACAGCCCCCCGACGCTGCTGGAGCTCCGGCTCAAGGTGGCCCCCTTGCTGTCCGCGTGGTGCCGAGCGGGAAGGCAGGGTCAGGTACGCACTGGCGTCCTCCATCTTCTTGCTGTCTCCCTGCAGACGGAGCCTGGTGACCGCCCCGCGCCCAGCCCCTGCCGCGCTGACCCCGCATCGCGCCCCTGGCAGGCACTAGTCCAGTGTCCTGAGGGAGGCAGGCAGGCGGGGAGGGGCTATGCGTCCTGTCCAGGAGGAGATGACCGTGGGCCGGGCAGTGTGGGGAGGAGGCCTCACCCTGGCCAGGGAGAACCGCGAGCCACACAAACCTCTGTTCTTTCTAAAGCAACCCGCCCCTGGTATCTCGTTACAGTGTCACAACACGGACTCGACTCGTGCACGGCTTCGGGGGGGGGGGGGGAGCTGGGACTGGGGAGGGGGAGCTGGGCCCAGGCACGGTGGGGGGCATCAGGACCCCGGGTCTGGGATTTCCCTCCGCTGCAGCGCAGCGTCCTCTCCGAGGTCCTGCAGGAATCCTGGCCATCTTGTAACGACGCCACCCGCCTCCCGGACCTCGGGGAGGGGACGGAGGCCCCGCGGCGCCGTGGGGTCCCGGGGAACGCGTGTGGCCTCCGGGGTCCCGCGCCCCTTTCTGCCCCCCCACCTCATCCCCGGTACCTTGAGCACCGTCAGGTCGTGGCAGCCATCCTGCAGCGTGGTCCCGTCCTCCTTCATCAGCTTCACGTAGGACATAGCGAAGTTCTTCTCCCCCTTTGTCCTTAGCTGGGAAGCGCGTTGGGATGTCAGGAGAGAAGGTGGCGAGTCCCCCCCCATCCCCAGGCCTTGTCCCTCCCCCCCCCATCCCCAGGCCCTGTCCTCGGGGGCACGGAGGCCCCAGGGCGGGCACGGATGCCCAGGGCGGGCACTCACATTCCACGGAGGAGCGGTGCCGGAACATGAACCTCAGGTGAATCCTCTGCATGTCCTCGATGGGCACCGCCACCTCCGGGGACAAACCAGAGCTCAACAGACGCGAGCGGGGACGGCCCCCACTCCCGACCCCCCCCCAGCCCGCAGCCCCTCCCCCCACCCCGCTTTACCCACCCACCCCCGCCCAGCCTGACAAACGAACAGCAAACAAATCACACAAGAACCAGCACCAGATGTAATCCAGCTGGCAAACTGCCTCTCCAGCCAATGAAGCCCGTAAATTACGGTAAGAGGAGAAAAAAACCACACGCCGAGTCTCCCCAAATTGGTATAAAAGTCACATCACGTTAGCACATACCCCCACCCCCCACAGGAGAGGCCGGAGTGGCAGCCCTGCTTCTGCTGGAGAGAACCTGGTCCATGGGAGTTAGTAAGAATGCCCGAGGCCCGGCCCCCGTGGCTCACGCCTGTCATCCTAGCTGCTCAGGAGGCTGAGATCTGAGGACTGGGGTTCAAAGCCAGCCTAAGCAGGAAAGCCCATGAGACTCTTATCTCCAATGAATGGCTCAGAAAAAGCTGGGAGTGGGGCTGTGGCTCATGTTGTAGAGCGCTTGCCTTGAGCAAGAGCTCAGGGACAGCGCCCAGGCCCTGAGTTCAAGCCCCAGGATGGGCAAAACAAACAAACAAAACACCCAAGAATGCTTGGCTCTAGTAATGTCTGGGGGATCCTAGGGCTCACCCCTCATCTTTGTGGACAGACACATTTGCAGATGCTTTTCCTCCTGAAGCCACCAAAGGAGAGCCACCACCCCAGATCACCCCCCAGTCTCCCCGGAACCACACTGCCCAGTGAGTTGTCTGCCAGCGGCACTCACTGGGGTGCTTGGGCCTGGCCCTGGGGCACCCCATTTCTGCAGTGGGCCGTCCAGGCTGTGGGGCCAGCTCCCCGCGGGAACGGTACTTGCGGTGTGGAAAAGAGACCGGCTCACACGGGAGGCAGCACTGACACAGACACACTCTGAGCCAGGCCAGGGTACAGGTCCGTGGGGGACCCCAGAGGCCCCAGCCCCAAAGATAACCCAAGACACCTCCATCGCCCTCGGTCCCTCCGGGAGGCCTGGCCAACACCGGTCTAGGGCTGACCTGGGCTTGTCACAAAGAAAAACAAGGACATTCTAGACCAGGTGCAGGATGCCGGCGTGGAAGCTCGGGACGGTGCGGGACGGCCCTGTGGGCTCTGGGTTCGGGAGACGCCCTGGCGCCCTGCCCTCTGCCGCCTCTCCCAGGAAGAGCACATTCATGCCACGCCCTTCCCAGGGCGGTGCTGGGCGGCTTGTGGACTAGACCACCTGCTGCCCCACCCCCGTGTGACAGGGCAGGAAACTGAGGCACAGGGGAGCTGAGTGAGGCCGGAGGGGGGAGGAGTGGGAGGGCTGGGGTATAAAACCCAGCCCCCCCACCCAGGACAGGCTCGTTCAACACGCTACACAGCGCTCATGAAGAGGAGGAGGATGGCTGACTGCTCTACCGTTCCGGGGGACCAGGTCCCCGCCCCGCACTGCCCGGCAGGGTGGGGGGCAGGTGAGCGCTGACAGCTTTGGCTCCAGGCCCCCCCCCCCCCGCAGGGCTGCTGTGAGGGTAACGGGGCCACTCCACGCACACCGGCGCGGGCCGCTTACCTTGACCGTCTCCATCCAGCGAGGCTGCTTGACTTGGTAGTACAACCACGGAGTGGTACTCGCTCATCGGCTTGTCCCCAGCGCCCACGCAGATCGCGTTCTCCCCCAAGAAAGGAAACGCAGAGCGGGAACATCACGGAATGGCCGCCTCCGGAGCCTGGCTGACTTCGAAGCCAAGGCCCAGGCCGCAGGCTTCCCTCCCTCCGCCAGCTCCCTCCCACAGGGCAGATCTGCCCCCAGCCTGACCACAGAGATCCAATGGCTTCCACTCTAGAAAACTGCTAGAACGTGCCAGGACTGGCAGTGGCTGCCTTACTGTACCCGGTGACCAGCCCGGGGTCCCCGCCGCCCCGCCTTGTCTCTAGATGGGGGAGACGTGTGCACACGGCCCAGGGCGGCCACGCGGCGCGGCACCACGGCTGATGCGTTTCTGAAGCTCTCACACCAAGCCCACGGGCGTGCCGGACGCGGGGGACAGCCCAGCTTCGGAGGACACCAGGGCCCTCACGGGCGGCAAGGCTGGGGTGCGGGGTGCGTGGGAGGGCCGTGGAGCGATTTCCAGGGCCTGGTCCATGCTGGGCCCCGAAGGCAGGGGCATGAGGTGGGAACAGAGCCCAGGAACACGCAGGCTCAGTGGAGAGGACCGAGGACCGCCCCATCCGTGTGCATAGCACTGCAGTGTGATGCCAGATGGATGGACAGACAGGAGGATAGATGGATGGACAGACAGACAGGCAGATGGATAAACCTATGGACTGACGGATGGATGAATGGATGGATAGACAGATCAACAGGTGGATACACAGACGGACAGACAGACAGATGTACAAATGGATGGACAGACATACAGCTAGCCAGATGGAATGATAACTAGAGGCTTACAATGCTGCAATGTGATGCCAGACAGACATACAAATAGACAAACAGAGGTACAGACAGACGGACAGACAGGCAGACAGACAGACAGATGGAAAGACACAGGGGCCCAAAGGAGGGTTGCAGGAGAGGCTTGAGGGGTAAGACTGAGCGAGACTGAGCTGTGTGTGAGGAGCGTGGGGAGCCATCTGCACAGACCACGTGGGGCCATGGCTCCCGCTCAGAGCTCAGAAGGAGCTGAGCAGCAGGGAGCTGTCTTCAAAGGGCGCTTGCCAGCCCTGGGCGGGCCTCCCCCTCCCCCTCCCGCTCCCGTCCTCCCCTCCCCCTCCCGCTCCCGTCCTCCCCTCCCCCACCCGCTCCCGTCCTCCCCCTCCCCCTCCCGCTCCCGTCCTCCCCTCCCCCTCCCGCTCCCGTCCTCCCCTCCCCCTCCCGCTCCCGTCCTCCCCTCCCCCTCCTCTCTCTCTCCTTCTGTCCCCTTCCTCCTCCCCCCCTCCTTCACCCGGGCTGCCCTGGGGCTTTGCGCACAGCGCCCATAGCCCCCCACCACTCCATTTGCACAGCCCCCCCCCCCGGGGACCACTGTCCTCATCCCCGTTCCACAGCTGGGTAAACTGAGGCAGGGCTGGCAGGACGGCCCGGACTCTCTAGCTCTTTGGCCCGGAGCCCTCCGGCAGCCCCCCCCAGGCCTTCCTCACGCAGGAGTCTGGGGACTCCCCACCCCACCCCCGCCCAATGCCCCGAGACCACCCTGGGCACGGAAGCTCCCCTCTTTCCCGAGGCTGCGGGAAACGTGGCTCAGTGTTGCACCAGGACGGCTTCGCGTGGGGCTGGGTTGCAAAGTGTGGTCACCAGCACGTGGGGCCAGGGCAGAGCCTGTCCGCCAGGCGTGGAGATCGGGCCGGCCCCCAGGCCTCGGGGGGAGGGGTACGGGCCCCCTCGAGGGATCTCCCGCCAACCATCTAAGTTGAAGGCTGAGAACCACAACTCAGGCTCCTCACCCCAGCTCCCGGGGATCTGGAGAGGGGAATTTGGGGAGAACGAGGTCATCCCAGCTACAGGGAAGTAAACGTAGATGTGACTCAGGGGTGCCTGGCTAGCAAGTGAAGGGTCACAGTTCAAACCCCGGGGTCATTAAAAACAAAAAATCAGAGTTGGAAAGCCACAGGAGAGGCTTCTGGGCAGGGCGCACAGCTAGGATCAGATCCAGAGGGGGCGGGTTGGAGCCGCCAGGGCCCAGCATCTACAGTTCCTGCACCCGGCCTCCGGCACCCCGGCCTCCACAGCTCAGGCCTCCTCCCTCTCCCATCGCTGTGTTCACTGCCTGTCCGGTCCCTGTGCCCACCTCCCTATTCAACTCCAGTCTCTAAGGAACCAGCTCCCACCTCTGGTTTTAGAGATCAAGGGAAAAAGATTCCTGCAAGATCACACAGCTAATAGGAGCGGATAGGTGGATTTGAACCCTGCCTGTCCGACCCCAGAGCTCTTAGCCAGGTCCTAGGGACCCCCCCCCCCCCAGAATGCCAGGGGCAGACCTCGTGCACGGGAGCACTGTGCTTTTCCCACGGAGCCCGGCTGTCACGGGGAGCTGGGGGAGTGCCGCAGAGCGCTTCATTAGGCGATGATATTTATTTCTGCAACTCTGGGAAGAGCTGCCTCCCCGGGCTTCCTTAGCAATTTTCAATAGTCAGTCACCTAAACTCCCCCATAATTTCCCCGGCGGATGGAACTGTAAATTCCCACAGTGCCCCGTCTCACCCCCAGAATCCCCGCCTGTGCGCCGGCAGAGACGGCTAAGCCAGGAGCCTCAGCCTGGCTGCGGCTGGAAGAGAAGCCAGGCGGTGGGGAACGGCCCCTTCTCATTTGTCCTCGGGCAACGTGGAAGGCAGGCAAGGGTATCGATGTTTTAAAATGAGGCTGAGCTTCAAAAGTTCTCTGATCAGGAGGTAGCTGGATAAAAATAGCTTCAAAGCAATGGTCCATACATTCATGAGATGCAATCTTGTCCTTTGGGATAAAGTCCCTCTGGACTCCTTTGTGCTCCTCTGAGCCAAGTTGTTTCTCCCTTATTTGAACTTTTCAGAAAAAGTTTCAGCATTAGCCATTAGTGGCTGAGCCAGAGGCTGGCGCTTTGTTCAAGGAGAGATTAATGAACAGGGAGGGGGTTCCACGTACAAAAATGCAGTTACAGAAATGTCTTCAGATTTAAAAATAATAAAGAAGCATCCCAGAGCTCAATAGAAGAGGTTACCAGCCTCATTTTTAAGATGGAGATGAGATGGGGGAAGATTTTTTTTTTAATAGGCATCGTGGTGATTTTTGTTGATGTTGTTTTGTTTTGCCAGTTTGAGGGCTTAAACTCAGGGCCTGGGTGCTATCCCTGAGCTCAAGACCAATATTCTGCCTTTTTTGTTTTTTTTTAGTCGGTTGTGGGGCTTGAACTCTGGGCCTGGACACTGTTCCTCAGCTCAAGGCTAGCGCTCTACCACTTGAGCCACAGCGCCACTTCTGGTTTTCTGAGTGGTTTATTGGAGATAAGAGCCTCACAGACTTTTATGCCCGGGCTGGCTTTGAACCTCGGTCCTCAGATCTCAGCCTCCTGAGTAGCTAGGATTACAGGTGGGAGCCACCAGCGCCAGCCCGGCACTCTACCATGTAAGCCTCAGCTCCACTCCCAGATTTGGGGTGTGGCTAATTGGAGATTTAGAGCCTTGTAAACATTTCTGCCTGGGCTGGCTTTGAACCACGATCCTCAGGTCTCAGCCCCTCGGGTGGCTAGGATGACAGGCGTGAGGCACCAGCGAGCCCCGCCTTGGTGAAGTGTTTTAGGGTCCTGGGTCATTGGTTCCAATTGACAAGGGCTCTGCTTCACATCTGTCAGGGACGGGGTGACGGATGGGCCCCCGTCCCCTGAGGGCGCTATCTACCCCCTCCCCAGCTCCCGAGAGGGGAGGACACCACCCCCCCTAGCTCTCCATCTTCCCAGGGGCCTAGAAGAACGTGTGCAGGCTGACTGGCGCTGACAACGCCTCCTTTTCAGCAGAGAGCCGGGAGAGGAGGGAGGGGGGAAGCGGAGGCTCCCACGCTGGCCCGGGGCTGCCGACAGCTCACAGGAAACAGGAGTAAATAGATGTAAACACGCATGACAGGGACTGCGCGGGACATATGCTGCGGGAACAGAGCCGGCTGCTCTGCCTGCCTTCCCCACACACTGCCAGCTCTCCGGAGGCCAATTCGCGAGCGGGGCTGCACTTCGCCGCCGGGGGAGTGGGCGTGAGCGCGGGCGCCCGCTTCCTTCCTCGGCAGCCGCCCAAGGCTCCCCATGGATCCTCCCGGCAGGGCCTGTGCCTGAGCCACCGGCCCGCGTTCCAAGGAGAACTCTAACTGCACAGCTAAACTACAGCAGATGCCAGACCAATATAAACATACATCTAAAGAGGAGGAGGGAAGGCGAGCGGGGGAGGAGGCGGCGCGGGGGAGGGGGAATAGAAGTGGTGAAAAGGAGTACACGTTGGAGAACTGTTTGCCTGGGGGAAAAAAAGAACAAGAAGTAACCTTGGTTCCTCTTAATCAAGGTACAGATCACGTGGCCACACACCACTCCCGACAGCCCCTGGCACTTAGAGAGCCAAGTCAGGGAGAAGCTGTGTCCACGCTCGCTCACACACACACACACACACACACACACACCCGCGGCGGCTTACGGGCAGCGTCTTGCCATCCTCGGAACACACACACACGATCACCTCCACGTTCCTCTGCGAGGTCTTGTTGTACTTGTCGAAGTCACCTTGTAGGAGCGTGATGTAGATGTCATTCCGCACGTCTCCTGGGGACCAGAGAGGAAGAGGAGAGGCTGGAGGGGGCCCAGGGGAGCCCGGGCCCGGTGGGGCGTGGGGGGTGCGGGGAGGGGGGCGGGGGGAGCGTGAGGGAGCGAAGCCCTTACACGTTAGAGGAGCGTTGGGAGAGTTAAGAAAAGGGGGTGCAGGGGACATCAGCGTAGAAACGGGGGAGAAGGCCAGTCCTATACTGGCCATGTTTGTTTCTGCCCGTCAAAAATCGCTCAATTTCCATCCTGTGGTGACACCTGCTGGGCGGGGGAGGAATGGCCACCGAGGAAACACACGATGTCCCCAGATGGCTCTGCTCAGTGGAGTCCTGGGGCCGGCAGAGGGCTGGCGCGGGGAGGGGTGTGTGCAGCAGCGTGGAGTGCTCTAGAGGCATCCGGACCTCCATCAAGCCAGAGCGGACGTCACAGTCCCACCCACAGCTGACCATCTACCACAGGACCGTGGGATCGGTGGAGGAGCCGGGACAGGCTGGGGGTCCCCAGGCTTAACTCTTTTTAAGAAGAAATTACTGCACGCTGAGGAAGGCGTCAGCCCTCATGAATCCCCCCCCCCCCCCCCCCGGGGAGTGGCCAACGTCGCTGTGCCCGTCTGCCCCCTGAGAATTTTATGGCCAAGCGTGGATTGTCCAGGCAACAAAAGTCCTTTTTAAAAATAATTCACAATCCGACAACCTGCTTTCCCCTCAACCTGGGTAGAACATGCGGTTAGAGCCGGGCTCTGGTGGCTCATGCCTGCAATCCCAGCTACTCAGGAGGCTGAGATCTGAGGATCGAGGTTCAAAGCCAGCCCCCCCCCCCCCCCCCCCCCGCAGGAAAGTCTGTAGATTCTTATCTCCAATAAACCACTCAGAAAACAGGAAGTGGCGCTGTGGCTCAAGTGGTAGAGTGCTCGCCTTGAGCTGAAGAGCTGAGGGACAGCACCTAAGCCCTGAGTTCAAGCCCCACGACAGCAAAAAAACAAACAAAACAAACATACGGCTAGATAAAAATGGTGCCTGATGCACTGCGGGGCTGTACACCAGGCCACAGAGTCTGTGAGACACAGAGTCGGCGTCCTGAGTGAACCGTGATCCTGGGGTGCATGTGTGTGTGTGTGTTGTGTCTATTTTCAGGGGCAATATATGTGTGTCTGTCTTGTATGTCTGTCTTGTGTCTATTTTCGGGGTGATGCACTGTGTGTCTGTTCTGTGTCTATTTTCGGGGGGTGCATGTGTATGTCTCTTTTCGGGGTGATGCACTGTGTGTCTGTTCTGTGTCTATTTTCGGGGGGTGCATGTGTATGTCTCTTTTCGGGGTGATGCACTGTGTGTCTGTTGTGTCTATTTTCGGGGTGATGCACTGTGTGTCTGTGCTGTGTCTATTTTCGGGGGGTACATGTGTATGTCTATTTTCGGGGTGATGCACTCTGTGTCTGTGCTGTGTCTATTTTGTGAGTGTCAGCTTTCAGGCACGCAGGTGTGGCTCTCAGTGGTGGTATTGAAGGGGGGCAGAGGGAAGGTGACTTACAAAGAAAAGGGATTGTAGGAGCGGAAGAGCGGCCCCCCCACCCCGGGATGGACACGGCCCCCCCGGACCCCACCTGGCATGATGATCTCGGGGAAGCCCAGCTTCCGGGCCACCACGGTGGTCCTGTCCACCAGGTGCGGGTAGTCCTTGCGGATCTGCGTGAGGTCGCCCACCAGCATCTTCATGGTCACCCACAGGCCTGCGGGGGGGGAGGGGAAACACTTCTTCAGGGTGTTCTCGGCCTGCCCCCTCTCCCCGCCGTCTCCCCTGGCTCTGCCCCGGGCCCAGGCGGGCCAGCACAGGCTGCCCCCACCCATCTCCCAGGGCTGCAAGGGTCATTTAGGAAAGGCCTGGCCCCCAGTGTCAGCTCCGGCCCCTCGTGTGGGCTGTGGGGGGCAGGGGGTGCATCCCAGAATTCCCAGTGGTCTGTGGGAAGGAGGGGACGGTGATCTGCCTGCAGAGCGGCTGGGGGCTGGAGGGGCCGCTCACCCTGCCCGCCACTGTCTCCTTTAGAGGCCGTGACTTTGCCCAGCAGGCTGTGCAGGAAGTCGTTTTCAGCTGTGACCCTGGAAAACAAGGAGACAGACCTACACACGGTGCCCTGTGGGGCCCCCAGCCCCTCCCAGGCCTGGAGTGGAAAGGAAGCCTGCCCGTGCCAACTCCTGCCAGCCGCGGGAGCCCTCCCCACGGACCAGAGCTCTGCTGGTCCTGGGCATCCGCCCCCTAGGGAGATGCACATGGAGGAAGGATCCGAGCCCCGGGCAAGTGGGGACCCCTCCGTTGCACCCCAAGTCCTAACCAGAGAGGCTGGCCAGGTGGGACGCCCAGCAGCCCCTTTCCCCAAGTCTGCATTGGAGAGGAAAGGACTCCTCACTCCTAAAGCACGGGGGCCTGCCCCGGGGAGCCTGACAGACACACTCCTGGGGCCTGACACACACCCTCACACAGAATCCTCCATCTTCTGCTGATTGTGTGTAGCTGCCTAAAGTAGAGGCTCCAGAACAAGGCCTGGTGACCTCGCTCACCACGGCTGCCCCCCCCCACCCGCCCCCATCCCCGGCACTGGGAACACACCAGCCCTGCCAGGCTGAACAGGTGGACATGCCAGGGCCATGAGCCACTGTGGCCCTCCTCCCTGCCTCCTCCCTCCTCCCGCTGGCCTCTGCCTAGCTCAGGGCAGCTCCAGAAGGGCGTGGCCTGTGAGAGGGTGTGGCTTGTGAGAGGGTGTGGCTCTTGAGAAGGGCGTGGCCTGTGAAGGGGGCGTGGCTTCGAGGATGTGGTCCATGGGAGTGTGGCTTTGCAGAGGGTGTGGTCTGTGAGGAGGGCGTGGCTTGAGGAGGATATGGCCCATGGGGTGTGGTCTTATGGAGGGTGTAGCCTTGTAAAGGGTGTGGTCTATGGGGAGGGTGTGGCCTGTGGAGGGGGCGGGGCCTTGAAGATGGGGCCATGGGGTGTGGCCTGGGGGAGGGCGTGGCCTGTGGAGAGGGCGGGGCCTCAGAGGGGTGTCTTGTGGGTGTGGCCTGGGGGAGGGCCTGGCCTGTGGAGAGGGCGGGGCCTTGGAGGGGTGTCTTGTGGGTGTGGCCAGGGGAGGGTGTGGCCTGTGGAGAGGGCAGGGCCTTGGAGGGGTGTCTTGTGGGTGTGGCCTGTGGGGAGGCGTGGCTTATCTGGGCCCTGGCCCCGGCCTGTGCTCACGGGTGGAAGGGGATGAAGTGCTGCTTCTCCTCGTCACTCTCCACCTTCCCCTTGATGATGTCGGTGATGTCCATACCTGGGAAGAGAAGCGACGCGGACTGAGGGTCCCCCTCGCGCCCAGGAATGGGCAGCATGGGCTGAGGTTACAGGACGGGGCGGAGGGCAAGGGGGACCTGGGGGTCAGCAAGCGGCCACACAGACGGCAGGCCTTGCCCACGGCTGGGCAGAGGCCAGAGGCAGAGTCGGGCAGGAGGCCACGGAGCGGAGCGTTAGGTGGACAGGGAAAGCAAACACAGATGGTTCCTGCAAAACACTTGCCACGTGCTGTGAGCCCAGCCTTGCACGGACCGCCCTGCAGCACAGACACAGAGCACAGAACCCCAGAGCATTCTGGGCCTCGGAACCTCCTGCAATCAGCCATGTGCACACCACCCAGGGGAAGGACTCTGCACGGAGCCGGGGTGGCAGGGATGGAGGCAAAGGGGGGTGGGGAAAAGCTCAGCCGGCAGCAGAAACACTTCAAACACCCTGAGCACTGGCCAGGGAGCCACTAAGCCTGCATGATGGCAGGTCAGAGAGGAGTGGGGCAAGAGCAACGTGAGCCTGACCACCCGGTGGTAACAGCCCTGGGGGGGGGGGCAGAACCAGGGCATCTGTGAGCAGCGCGGGGTGGGGGGCTCGGGTCCAACCTCCTCATTTCATCCGCAGGGAAGCTAGGGCCCTGAGAAACACTGGCCCGGCTGCCCAGCAGCGATGGTGCGGGGTTACAGAGCCACCACGACTACGCAAGTCCTGCCAGCTGGGGAGCAGGGATTTGTGCCACCGAAGACTAGGGTACCCTGAGAACTGGCTTGCATATGGGGCGGGACGCGGGGAATGACAATCGGTGCATGATTAAAAACGGACACCTTCATAAAAAGAGTGAAACTGGCATGTCAGACTGCCAGGTCACAGGTGCTCAGGTGGCCGTTAAGAAAAATGCACCTTAAGATGGGACCGTGTCAGGTGCGTGACGGCCGGAGGGAGCGTGAGGAAGCCTCGTGGTGGGGGCCCCGCGCCCCGCGCCCCGAGCCCCGCACCCCGCGCCCCGTGCCCCGCGCCCCGAGCCCCGCGCCCCCCCGCCCCGCGCCCCCCGCCCCGCGCCCCGCGCCCCGCGCCCCGCGCTCCCCGGCATCCGGTCCCATCTGGAATGCAGACGCCAGGTGGGTGACTCATTCTGTGTCGCTGCATTTCCTGTCCTGGATATTTCTCTCAGAATGATTTGCTCCTGGTAATTAGATCGGCCCTGGATTGCGCGTCCTTTTGGCCGCAGCTTTGGGGAGCAGAGGCTCCCAGTGCTCAGACAGATTGCGTGTGACGCTCGGCTCCAGCCCGGAGACCCCATGGCCCCTCCCCCACAGCCGCACCCAGCCACCTCTCCCCTCCATCCGTCACCACAAACGTCCTTATGAAGGGCGCTCTGCATCTGATCCTCGGGGCAGAAATCACCCTTCAACACCCGAGCAGATAAACCACGTGCTGCTGCGCTCCTACCTGCCACCCCGCAGGGCCGCCTCAGGCCCTGCGTGCACTTCTTTGTACTGGTGTCTTTGAGATCCATCTTCCCGATCCGAACTATTTGGCAAATCAAGTAGATCTTATCCCTGTTGAGGTCTTTGTTTCCCAGATCCTGTGGGGCAGGGGGAGAAATAGTCACGCACACCGCACGCCGAGTGGAGATGAAGCAAAGAACACCGGGAGCAGTCCTTGGAGGGGTACGCCTCTCACGGGGACGCCTGCCCCCCACATCACCGTCCCGGAAGAGGAGAGAGCAGGGGAAGAAGTGAGGGGGGAAACGCAGCGCCGGTCATACGGGCGGATGCCCCACGGGCGAGGGGAGGCACCCCAAAACAGCACTGCTACAGACGGCGCCCTCACCGCCCCCCCCCCCAGACGGCAAGAAGGGAGGGCAGGTGGTATCAGCTAGTGCTCAGGACGCGCCGGGAGGTGTGCAGGCTGCTCACCCACACCCCGGCCCCCTCTGTGGACCTGTCTCAACCTCCCCACCCTGCCGGGTCGGCCAGTGCACAGCCCCTTCTCCAGCCCAGGCCACCCTGAAATCTCCGGCAACGTCGTCTTCTGAGGCTAGGTCTTCTCGGGTATTTGTCCTCAGCATTAAAGCCCCATTTCCTCCCTCGGTGGTGCTATTCTTCCTGAGTTGACATTCAAGGCTGAGACCTGACAGGTCCGTCCGGCGGCTGCGCCAGCAGAGGCCTCGTTTCCATGCAAGCTCTCGAGTTGTCACCGTGCGGTTATTGCTTCGTGTGTGCACAGGTGTGCACACACAGGCGTGCACACGACACTCCCTTTTAACATGAGGTTCTTCTAGCTAGCTGCACCTCCACCGTGCGTGCGTGCGTGCCTGCCCCTTGTTTCTCTCCATCGTCAACGTCTTTCCATCCTTAGACAGAAGACACCTCCATTCTTAGTCATTTCTGGCCTCCCATTGGGATTTTTCTTTTTCCGGCATGTCTAGACCAGCGTCGGGCGCCCAGCTGTCCACCGCGGTGTCCGGCGTCCAGTGCACGGCCCGTGTGTCTGTGCAGGACACACCGCTGCCCCGGCCATCTCCGGACGGAGGCGTGGTCATGGCCGCATGGGGCGGCAGCGGGCACGGAGCGGCAGCGGGCACGGGGCGGCAGCGGGCACGGGGCGGCAGCGGGCACGGGGCGGCAGCGGGCACGGGGCGGCAGCGGGCCCGGGGCGGCAGCGGGCACGGGGCGGCAGCGGGCACGGGGCGCAGCGGGCACGGGGCGGCAGTGGGCACGGGGTAGCAGCGAGCGCAGGGCAGCGGCCGTCCGCTGAGCGCTCAAGCCGGGCACCCGGGCTCCCACCGTCTCGGCCTGCCCCACCACCCTTCCCCGCTCCTGTGCCACATCTGCCTCCCGGTTCCATCGGGGCCCGGGGGGACCGCGTTCATCAAGGTGGTGCGTGGGCTCCGACAGGCAACGCCGAACAACCTGACACCCATCAGCCCGGATCGCTGCACAGCGCGGCCGCTGCACTGAGCAGGCTGCGGCCAGAGATGATTGTAGAGCCAGGTGTGGCCATGATCGCGGTGGATCAACGCGGATCCAACCTGTCAGTTTAGGTCCCTGCCCAGCGGCTCCCTGGGTCTCTCCCCTGTGGTGCCAGCCCAAGTCCTGGCCAGGCCCTGTGCCTCTCCTTCCCCTGCGCCTCTCCTTCCCCGAGCCTCTCCTTCCCCACACATCTCCTCCCCCGCGCTGCCTGCCCAGAAATCCGTCACTGCAATGGCAGCTGGCGTCAGTGCTGCCCGTGTACGGGGCTGCTGACCCCGCCACGCTCACGCTCACTGTTCTAGAACAGTCCTGGGTCTTCCTGATATGTGGAGAATTCAGGTCACCCGTGGATCACCTGGAAAAGCCAAGCAGCCCCTCCCGCCCCCAGCGCCGGGGTCCCTGCTCACCGAGGTGCACACACGTGTGCAGGTAGCGCTGACCACAGCTTCCGGCCCAGGGGACAGACGGGGACGGCCAGAGGACCGAGACAGGCGGCCCGGTCACGTGACCCCGCCAGCCCCCACCCCCATCTCTGCCCAGGCCTGGCCCTCGGCCGTGGCCACGGCCTGCGCATGGCGGCCACGCTGGCTCACCGTGAACACCACCTTCAGGTTGTTGAGCATCTCGATCTCCTTCGGGAAGCCGCGGCTGCCCCAGCGCACCAGGTAGTTCTCACTGCGGGGGGGGGGGGGGGTGGGGGGAGGGAGGGAGGGGGAGAGCCGGCGTTGGTGAGGGGAGTGAGGGGTACGCACAAACCCCCCCACTGCCGCCCAGGCCCAGCCCGCCCTCCTCCTGCCCAGGATGCCCCCAAAAGCCTTCCGCACCCCCACCCCCCAGCACGCTCTCCTCCTGCCCGCCGCCCAGCCAGGGCAGACAAAGATCCAGAATCTCCATTTTCCTTCCACTGTGGAACCCTGGCCTGACTGACGTCACCATGGACATTGGAGAACTGAACGCAGCTGTGACTCCTCCCCCTCCCCCTCCCCCTCCTCTCCCTCCTGCCCCTCCTCTCCCTCCCCACCTCCTGTCCTTCCCCTTCATCCTTCCCCCTCCTCCCCTCCCTCCTCCTATCCTTCCCCTTCCTCCTCCTCCTATCCTTCCCCTTCCTCCTTCCCCCTCCTTCCCCCTCCTCCCCTCCCTCCTCCTCCTTCCTTCTCCTCCTCCTCCTATCCTTCCCCTTCCTCCTTCCCCCTCCTTCCCCCTCCTCCTCTTCCTCCTCCTCCCTCCTCCTCTTCCTCCTCCTCCTTCTCCCTTCTCCCCTTCCTCCTCCTCCTCCTTCCCCCTCCTCCCTTCCTCTTCCTCCTCCTCCCCTTCCTCCTCCTCCTATCCTTCTCCTTCCTTCTCCTCCTGCCCTTCCTTTTCCTCCTTCTCCCTCCTTCCCCCTCATCCCCTTCTCCCTCCTCCCCTTCCTCCTCCTTCTCCCTCCTCCTCTTCCTCCTCCTCCTTTCTCCCCTCCTCCCCTTCCTCCTCCTCCTTCTCCCTCCTCCCCCTGCTCCTCCCCCCTTGCCCTTCCTCTCCCAGCTCAGCCTCCCCGGCCGGCACCCGTCACCCGGGGCGGCTCAGGGCGCAGAGCCCCGGTCCCCGGGCCTCCTGCGAGGCCGCGGCACGCCCACCTTATGACGGCCTGCTTGCTGGGGTCATAGAGCGACATGAAGAGCTCGGCGTCCTCCCCGATGCGGCACACGAAGTTGCGCACGAACACGTAGAGGCTGTGGGTGGGCGAGGAGGAGAGCCGGGAGCACGCGCCGTAGTCGGCCTGGTCCCGGGACTGGGGGGGGGGGGGGGGAGAATCAGACCGCGGGGCTGACGCCAGCGGAGACACGGCCCGGACCCGGAGCTGCCGCGGGGCCCGCGCCCCGCACCCAGCGCCCAGGGCTTCCACCGCGCCACGTCCCCAAAGATGAACTCTACACGCTGCTCGTTGAAACCTTCATGAAGGGGTCTGGGCGGTGGGCTCAACCCTCCCTCCCTCCCTCCCTCCCTCATATGCACATGCTCACACGCACATGCATGCACATACATGCAAAAGAAAAGAGTGGTGGAGAAAGGAAGAATAAAAGAAAGGCAGGAAGAAGGGAGGGAAGGAAGAAGGGAGAAAAGAAAAGCTGGGCACTCTGGTGCACATCTGTAATGCCAGCACTCAAACGGAGGCAAGAGCGTTGCAAGTTCAAGGCCAGCCTGGCCTACTTACTGCCTCAAAACTCTATGGACAGAAATATGCATTAAAAAACAAACAAACAAAACAAAACAAGCTGAACTGGCGAGGTCCCACCAGGAGGAACTCGTAGGAGATCCGAACTCCTTCTGGTCCGGTGGGACCGGGTCCTGCCTGGCACCTCTCCACCCCGTCCACGCCCCCTGCCCCCCTCACACACACACTGGATTTCCACACCATCAGTGTTCAGAGCTCAGCTCTACCCCAGGGCCCTTCCTGCCGCTGTTCTACCAGCCTTGCAGCTGCCCAGGCCGGCGCGTCCACGGAGACCGGATCCCCTGCGTCTGCTCAGAGCTGGTCCCGACCTCTCCGGAATCAGAGGCCCCTCCCGGCCCTGCCGAGCAGTGACCCGGGCTCACCCCGGTTCACATCACCTTCCCTGTCGCCATCTGGAACCATCTGGAACTTACTTGCTCCCTGTCTTTACTTCGCTACCAGCCTCTGGTCAAAGCCATAATAAGGGGCTGAGGCGGCCGGGCCCCAGGCCCCGGGCTGGCCCCGAGGGACGGCTGGCCATGGCGGGGACTGCCCGGCCCGGGCCTGCTCACCATCTCCTCCCTGATGCGCTCCGTGATCTTCTCCGTGGCCTCCTGGTGTGCGTGGAAGAGGCTGATGATGCTGGTGCGGCCGGGGTCCAGGATGTTCCCATCCTCATCCCTCACGGTCAGGTCCAGCTCCAGGATTCTGAGGAGCACAGGACGGGGAGGGGGAGACCGGGCTGAGCTCCCAGGGCCAAGGGGCCCGGGGAGGGCCTGGCTCGGGGCTGGTGGGCCTGGGGAGGGCCAGGCGCGGGGCTGGTGGGCCCGGGAGGGCCAGGCGCGGGGCTGGTAGGCCCGGGAGGGCCGGGCGTGGGGCTGGTGGGCCCAGGGAGGGCCGGGCGCGGGGCTGGTGGGCCCAGGCAGGGCCAGGCGCGGGGCTGGTGGGCCCGGGAGGGCCAGGCGTGAGCTGGTGGGCCCGGGAGGGCCGGGTATGGGCTGGTGGGCCTGGGAGGGCAGGAAGCGGGGCTGGTGGGCCTGGGAGGGCCGGAAGCGGGGCTGGTGGGCCCGGGGAGGGCCGGGCGTGGGGTTGGTGGGCCTGGGAGGGCCAGGCGGGGCTGGTGGGCCCGGGAGGGCCGGAAGCGGGGCTGGTGGCACAGGCCAGCCTCTTCGCAAAGGCAGCCGGGAACACCGCCTTCCTTCAAAAGAGTCCTCCCTATAAGATCATCCCCAGAGTAACGCCGCTGGCCAGGGAGGATGGCCACGGTGCTGTCCCCTGAGCCAGCCGAGGAGGAAACCCCAGGACACGGACCAGAAGGCAAACGGCAGACAGACAAACACGTACCTTGTTGTTGAGAGAGAAATGGACGGGGGAGAGAGCCGGGGGGGGGGGGGCGGGGGGGCAACACTGTGACCTAATATTACGCAGCAGTATTTTAAAGTGTTAGCTGGGAGGGTGTGGTGACACACTCCTGCAATCCCAGCACTGAGCTGAGGCGGGAAGATCTCAGGTTCCGTCCAGCCCTGGGGACACAGCAAGGCCCTGCACGTGTTTACGCAGCGTTGGTGTGCGTAAGGAGACATCGCGCGCGAAAAAGAATGCGTGCGGCCTTGTGCGTGAAAACAGACAGCAACAAGCCAGATGGTCGGCTGCATGCTCACGGCCGGCCGGGCCGGCGCACGAAGAGAGATCTCTCCAGAGAAGGACCCGACCGCCGGCAGAGGGGAGGAGCTGGGGAGGGACCGGGGCCGGGGCTGGTGGAGGGGAGGGGGGAGCAGAGGCCCGGGCCTGTCTCCTGTGTGTGTGTGACATTTTACCACACGCACCCGTGCACAGGTATGCACACACAGACACAAAATCATCCTATTTGTTGTTGAAGGAGAGATGGCAAAATGGTGACCTAGAAAGGAATAGCACGGAGGCTCATGGATGGAGGCTCTCGGGTGGAGGCTCTCGGGTGGAGGCTCACGGGTGGAGGCTTGCAGGTGGAGGCTCGTGGGTGGCCTCCACTACCAGACACGGGGAGGGAGGTCGGGCTGGGGACCGGGGCTGAGAGGTAGGCACAGTCTGGGGTGTGCAGACGCAGAAGGTCACCGTGGCCCATGTTCAGTGGGAAATCCACTCCCTCAAGTCAGGGGGAAGCTCCGCCACGCAGCCACGCGGGCAGAGGCAAGCCCGGAGCCCCCGCGGGGCCCGGCCCCGTGCCCTGGGGGAGATGGTGCCCAGGCACCACGCTGCCGCCTCCTGCTTTCCTAGATTTATCCGGAGGAGTGCTCGGCCCAGCCCGGCACGGCCGGGAAGGAGGCCGCGCTGTGGAGCCAGTGCGTGGGGACAGGAACGGCCGGGGATGCCTCCTCCCTTCACGACGCTGTGAATGCTTCACAAAGCAAAAGGGGTGTGCGCCGTGGCTCCCGCCTGTAAACCCAGCCATGCGAGACCCAGACCACGGTTTCAGGAAAGAAAGGGAGAAGAGGGAGAAAAGGAAAAGGCCAGGCAGACGCTGCCGAGCCTCCCTGGCCCTGCAGAAACGCTCCCTCCGGGCTGGGAAGGTGGCTCAGTGGTAGAGCGCTTGCCTTGCATGCCTGAGGCCCTGGGTTCCATTCCTCAGCACCACATAAACAAAAAGAACAAAGCCGGAAGTGGCGCTGTGGCTCAAGTGGTAGAGCGCTAGCCTTGAGCTGAAGAGCTGAGGGACAGCGCCCAGGCCCAGAGTTCAAGCCCCACGACCGGACCCCAAAAAAAGAAACGCTCCCACCTCCGCCAGGCGCGCCAGAGGCAGCCACAGACAACACACACACGGAAAACCCACGGACAACCCACGCGGAAAACCCACGTGGAAAACACACACGGACAACACATCCAGACCAAACACGCAGACAACACATGAGGAAAACCCACGGACAAGCCACGCGGCCCTCGCTCCCCGGCCGGGTCCTGTGCCCACCCCCCACCCCGCTCTCTCTGGCTCTCTGTCTCTGGCTTGCTCTGTCTCTACTCTGCCTCTCTGCCTCTCTGTCTGTCTGTCTGTCTCTCTGTCTGTGTCTCTCTGTCTTCCTCTGTTGTTTCTGTGTGTTTCTGTCCCTCTCAGTCTCTGGTTCTTTCTCTGTACCTGTCTCTGTTTCTCTGGCTTGTTCTGTCTCGCTGTCTGTCTGTATCTCTGTCTCTGGCTTGGTCTGTCTTGCTGTCTGTCTGTCTGTCTCTGTTTCTCTCTGTCTCCCTCTGTCGTTCTTTGTCTCTTTCTGTGTGTTTGTCTCTGTCTGTCTCTGGTTCTTTCTCTCTTTCTCTGTACCTGCCTCTGTCTGTCCCTGTCTCTCTGTCTCTGCCTGTCTCCTCTCTCTGTGTGTCTGTCTGTCCCTGTCTCTCTGTCTCTGCCTGTCTCCTCTCTCTGTGTGTCTGTCTCTCTCCGTGTCTGTCTCTCTCCACCCCCTCGCCCTCTTCTCCCCACCCCGGGTGCCGTCCGCGGGCGCGCTGGCCGCTCACCGGTTGCCGTAGTCGATCTTGGACGTGACCTTCTGCTTCAGCTCCTTGAGCTCGTCCTTGGGCAGCGTCCCGGACAGGAGCTGCGCGCGCCACTCCACCAGCTCGCACATCATGGCCTGCAGCTGCAGGAAGCGCTCCTTCCGGCTGGCCTGGGGGGAACACGGGCATCGGCCATGGCCCGTCCAGCCCTGCCCAGCCCAGCCCTGCCCTGCCCCGCCCTGCCCAGCCCAGCCCAGCCCAGCCCAGCCCCAGCCCAGCCCAGCCCCAGCCCAGCCCAGCCCAGCCCTGTCCAGCCCTGCCCAGCCCAGCCCAGCCCAGCCCAGCCCAGCCCCAGCCCAGCCCAGCCCCAGCCCAGCCCAGCCCAGCCCAGCCCAGCCCAGCCCCAGCCCAGCCCAGCCCCAGCCCAGCCCTGCCCAGCCCAGCCCAGCCCAGCCCAGCCCTGCCCAGCCCAGCCCAGCCCAGCCCAGCCCAGCCCAGCCCAGCCCAGCCCTGCCCAGCCCTGCCCTGGCGCCCTGAGCCCTCCAGCTCTCGGCAGGTGGGGGGGCTATGTCCCCCAAATCACGCGCAGCGAGGCTTCGGGGGCCCCGAGGGAGAACAGGCGCTGGGGGCGTGGGGGGACTCGAAGCCGTGGATTGCCACAGCGAAGCCGACTCTCACGCCTCCACTGGGGCTGTGCAGCCGAGGGCCAGGGCTTGGCCTCTCTGGGCCCCTGTGGTCTCAGGCAGGCCCACGTGGGCTCGGCCACATGAAGAGAGTCCGAGGCAAAGGCCGGGGCGCCAGCGTGGATGGGCGGGCAGGAGGGCGGGCGGGCGTGAGGGAATGCTCACCACGTAGAGCTGCTTCCAGATGCCGCCCCACTCCCACAGCGTGGCCGCCACCTCCTGAGCCAGCGGGGTCTCCGCGGGAGCCACGCTCTCCGAGTGTCTGGAGGGAGAGGCCACCGTGAGACGCGGCAGCGCAGAGAGGCCGCCCCGGACCCCGCACTGGCCAGGGCCTCTGCGCCGGGCCCAGGGTCCCCCACTCCTCCCCCAGCTCCCACACCAACCGCGCCCCACAGCCCAGCGGGGAAGACCGGGGGGGGCAGCGCTGGGCACATGGCGCCGGCTGGCAAAGCACGGCCAGCTATGAGGGCACCGGGTCGGGGCGGGCTCAGGGCGGGTGGCACATACCCCCCTCTCTCCACCGTGGCCTCCTTGATGTGGATGAAGGACCTGGGGAAGATGCCCTGTGGGGAAACCCGGGGTGAGCAAGGCCCGGCCGCCGTCCCGCGGGAACGAGGGACGCCCAGAGGAGGAGAAAGGAGACAGGGAGCCAGAGAGGCCACAGCCCGGAGGCCGGGAGGTGGGCGGGGAGGGCGGGGTGCAGGCAGGCAGGGCACCCCAGGAGGACCGAGAGGCGGGGCTGTCCCTGCGCTCACACGCCCAGCTTACCTGCGACAGTTTGTGCTTTAGGAGATAGCCCCGGAACCAGTCTGCGAAGAGAAAACACGGGCGTGGGAGGAGCGGGCAGGGTCGCTCCTCTAGACTGTATGTGCAGCTGGGCAGTGTGCGGGTGTGTGTGTGTGTGTGTGTGTGTGTGTGTGTGTGTGCGTGCGTGCCCGCGTGTGCACGTGTACACACAAGCTCCTGCACCAGCACTGAGGCTTGATGCGGGGTCTGAGAGCCATCCCTTAGCTTTTTCGGTACAAGCCTGGGGCTCTGCCATCCGAGCCACGCCTCCACTTCTGGCTTGTTGATGGTTCGTTGGAGGTAAGAGTCTGATGGGCTTTTCTGGCCAGCCTGGCTTCCAACTGTGACGCTCAGCTCTCAGCCTCCTGAGTAGCTGGGCTTACAGGCGTGAGCTACGGGTGCCTGCCCACCGCGCACCAGCGAGGGGCCACAGGTCTGTGGATGCAGGGCTTGGTGCTCTCGGAGCCTGGCAGCCGCCTCTAGAAGCAGCCAGAGGCCCAGGTGCGCCAGGGCGCTGCGGATGCGTGACAAGGCCCCCCACCCCCCAGCCCAGCCAGGCCTCCGTGGGGAAGCGCAGACTCTCAGGGTCGGGAGGAAGTGAGCTCTGATGGCCGTGCCCCGTGCCAGCCTGCAGGCTGCAGATTCTCAGCCAGGGCGTGAGGCCCCTTGGGCTCGGGGAGCTGTGGGCGCCGTGGTCTAGGAAGATCACGGTGCTGTGTCTGGAGCCTGTGGCCCGGTGTCTGTACACGGTCGTGGGATGGGGGGCGCGTGGGCCGTGGCTCACCTCCACAGGTCTCCTGTATCCGCACCACATCGCCGATCTGCAGGGAGAGCTGCGGCGCCTGGCCGCCCTGGAAGTTGGAGATGGCTGCGGAGATCGGGGAGAGAGGCATGAGGCCCCCGAACCCCAGACCTGGGTGTTTCCCACCGCCCCGCAGCTGTGGCCCAGTGCCTGGGGCCTCTGCTCACACCCCGAGCCTGACCTCCCCACGGGGACCCCGCACGGCCTCCCTTGGGCCCAGGAGCCGTCCATCCCAGCCGCACAGAAGACGCGGAGCCACCGACAAATCCAACAACGTGGCCAGGAAGTGGGGGGCGGGGGACTGGCTGAGTTCCCACCCCAGTGCGCCACCCTGTGCCCCCCACCACGCCGGCCCTCTGATGTCCCCGCCGGCCGGCCTGTCCCGCTCTGCCCAGCCCAACCTGCTTCCGTCCAACCCAAGCCAACCCTGGTTCCTCTCCCAACAGAGAAAGCAAGGCAATCCAGGCAGAGGGTGGAATATCACTCAGCCAGGAAAAGGAAGGAAGAGTGAACCATAGGATGGTGTGGATGGGACTTGAAGGCAAGGTATTACTCCATTCCACTTAGATGAAGACGGGAAGAGGAAACTCCAGAGATGGAGAGCAGCCCCATGGCTTCGGACTGAGGGAGAGGGCGAGGAAGGGACTTCTTTTTGTTTAATTTTGTAGATCCAATGGTGTGTTGTGGAGTAGCAAATCGTCTCCGGCTAGGAAACATGGACGGTTTTGTCTTTCAGTGTGTTCCATGGCTCCACATTGTGCACTGCGTTTTTTTAACTAATTAATCAATCATTACTATTTTTTTGGTCAGGGCTGAGGGTTCGACGCCAGCCTGGGGCCCAGCCTGGAGGCGCGCCTCTAGCGCTGTCGCCGCTGGCTATTTTAGGGTCTTACTTCCAGATGTGGGCCTGGGCTTCCCGCCCTCTCAGGGATTGCAGGCGGACCCCGGGGCGTCCACGGAGACGGAGGGCGTCCCCTGGGCCAGCTGGGCCCTGCGTCCTTCCCGAGGGGCGGGGAAATGCTGACACCCCGGTCCTGGCCTCAAACCTTAATCCTCCCGGCTCAGCCCCCCAGGCAGCTAGGATGACGGGTGTGAGCCACCGAGCCCAGCCCGGGGACTGGGCACCTCAAGATGGCCGCTGTAGAATGTAACATCCCGTTGGGAGCCTCGGGGTATCTTAGAGACACAGCCCTGAAGTTAAAGACTAAAGGCCCCTCAGTCAACTTGGAATAAAGTAATCCTCTTTTAAGAGGGATTCCCACAGAGCCCTCGGGCCAGGGCACCCCGCCCCGCCCCACCCTGCCCCCTCTCCTGCCTTCCCCCCCACAGCCTGCTTCCACCTCCCTGCTTTTGGCCTGGTTTCAGGACTTCTTCCCAGCTCCCTGCTGTCCCTGGTGCACGGGCAGATTTTCAGTGTGGAGGTCAGAGGTCAGAGGTCAGAGGTCAGAGGACTGCGGACTTGGCCCTGTATCCAACAGGGCTCAGCAGGACACCTCCCAGGGCCGAGAACGGGAGGCAGGGCTGGCTTGGGCCCTCCCCCCACCTCTCTCCTGGGTGTCTCCCCCAGCAGTGTCCCCCCCAACGCCAGGCGGGAGGGCTCCCCAGGGCCCAAGCTGGACGTCAGGGAGGGAGAAGGGGGGCGGGTTTGACTTCAGCCTCTGACCCGGGGCCTCCGTTCCCAGGCCTCTGGGGGGCGGGGAGCTGTCAGGGCTGTCAAGGGAAGTGGCTTTCTTGCGAATCCCCATTCTGTGGATTTTCTAAATGACTCACAGGAAGCGCTGCACCCCGAGGAGGCTTATCTCTGCTTCTGCATCTCCACCAGGCCCACCCACCAGCGACTCTCTCCCAGCCCCAGCCCCTGTGCGGCTGAGTGAACACAGGGGGCCCCCACCCCACTCCCCACACAGGGGTCCCGGGAGAACCCGCCCCATGCCAAAGGACAGCAGCCCCCCCCCCCTCCCCACAGCAATTACTGCTGGGGCAGAGGGCTAGCCTGAGCTCCGGGCCATCTCAGGCCCTGATGCCAGCGGACCCGCACTCGAGCCCAGGCCAGTAAGCCCCCGGCAGCCATTCCGACACGCGTGGGATCTCCATCAGCATGAAAGCGGGAATCGCCCCAGGACCCCATGTTCTTCCCAGAGCAGTTATCTTCTGCTCATCAAGGGCCCGAACCAAGGGGACAGAATGAGACAGGACGGAGCTCCGACCAACCGCACACCACCAGACAGAAACACAGGCTCCTCCGTTGGCAGACGGGGAAACAGAGGCCCAGGACAGAGGGGAGATGTCTCCAGCAGAAAGAGTCACGGGTAACGCTCTAAGTGCCCACTGCCCTGGGCCTGTCTTCCAGGAGAACAGCAGACTTGCCCTGTGCATGCATTGCTGGCCAAGCACACAGCCCTGTCACAGACACCTGTGGGCTCCCACAGCTGGGGCACCGGGTCACAGGCCTGGGCAGGCCGGAGGCCCCAAGAGCTAGCTCTGACCGTTCACTTAGTTGTCACCATAACCTGCAAGGTATCTCACACACACACACACACACACACACAGGAATACCTATAGCACAAGACAGCCACAGATTCGAACCCAGAGCAGAGCTCAAAGTCCTGCTTCGCTGACCAGCCCGTTCCTGCGTCCAGTTTATCCTCTCGGGATGGCCGCAAGCGACGCGGTGCTAGCACGCTGGACATGGCATTCCCGGCACACCAGGGGCCCGGCCCTCACCGGATGGCTATTACGTTTGATAGTTTGTGTGTTTAACCTGGTTTGCTTTTTCTTTTGTCCTTTATTCTTTGTTCCTGGGGACGGAAGCCAGGACATGGCCCTGGCTCGGCTGTGCGTTTCCCCAATGAGCCACACTGCAGCCCCGATGGCAGCGGTGCCTGCGCTGGCTTTAGTGAACCTCAGTTCCACAGGAGGAAAGTCGGGGTTCCCAGGGAGGGGATTTTGACCCAACTTGGGGAGAGGTTGGCGGGGGGCAGGACGGGAGCGGCCAGCGTCCGGCAGGGACCAGCAATGTCGCCCAGCTGTGCACTGGCCCGACCACGGCCCAGTCCACCCCTGCTGGTCCGTCAGACGCCGGCCCCCGCCGGAGGCAGAGGCCGCGGGAGCGGTCAGGTTACTGGATTCATGTAGGTGTCACGGGACCTCAGCTTGATCCTGAAAGTGGGGGTTGCTAGAAAAAGAGAAACTGGCCCCTCACAGATTCTGTGGCACCTGTGGTCACCCTGACACGCACGTTGGCCACGGTGTCAGCCACGGACCACGAGCCCCACACACACCAGACCCTGCCCGGACCACACACTACGCGCGACACAAACCTCAGGCTTCCAGAAGTTCCCACAGTAACAGAAAGCACAGGAACAGGTCCTGCAGGGCGCTGACGGCCCGCGGGGGACCCTCTGCCCCCCGGGCGGCCGGAGGCCGAGGCCGGCCCCAGCATCGCACTGGCATCTCACCGGGCCTTCCCTGCGCTCCACAGGCACCGGCACGCACGCACACACATACGCACGCATGCACGCTCTTACACACACCCATGTTCCCGTCCACACAGAGCTGGAAGAGGGCATCAGCTCTGCATCTCCAAACAGAGTGCGGTGGACTCCGCACCCGCAGGCTGGGAGGGCAGGGACACCACGCGGCCCCCTCTACCTCCCCAGCCTCCAGACCAAGGGAAAAACAAACACGAGAAACCAGTCTGAAGAGAGAGGAGCCCGGCTGCCACCACTGCCATCGCCGCCACTGCCAGGGCTCTCTGAGAAGCCAGGCCCCACGAGGGAAGGGAAGTGAGAGTGGACGGAGAGGAGGGTGGAGGGAGGGAGGGAGGGAAGGGCAGCCTCGGGCACTGGGCAGGGCTGGGAGGGGTGAAAAGGGCAGAGGGGGGAGGGGAGTCGCTGGACGCTGGAAGTGAGATGGACAGCCGGCAGGTTCATGCAGCCCCACTGTGGCCAGGGGCCAAATGCAGGTGTCCAGGGCGTGGAGAAGAGCTCCACCCAGAGGGCCTGGCAGGGAAGGGGTGGGTGGCACAGTGAAGGCAGTTCCCTTGAGAGGCCGTTAGAAACCCAAACCCTCCAGCCCTTCCCCTGCCTCTCAGATTCACCCACCCATATACCCACTCACCTGTCCATCCCTCCATCCCTCCATCCATCCATCCACTCACCCATATACCCACTCACCTATCCATCCTTCCATCCCTCCATCCACCCACCCACCCACCCACCCATATACCCACTCACCTATCTATCCCTCCATCCATCCATCCCTCCCTCCATCCCTCCATCCACCCATCCATTTATCCACCCATCCATCCAACCACCCAACTATCCCTCCATCCATCCATCCATCCATCCATCCACCCACCCACCCACCCATCCATCCATCCATCCACCCATCTATCCCTCCATCCATCCACCCATCTATCCCTCCCTTCATCCATCCATCCATCTATCCACCCATCCATCCACCCATCCATCCATCCACCCATCCATCCATCCATCCACCCATCTATCCCTCCATCCATCCACCCATCTATTCCTCCATCCATCCACCCATCTATTCCTCCATCCATCCACCCATCTATCCCTCCATCCATCCACCCATCTATCTATCCATCTGTCCATCCACCCATCCACCTATCCACCTATCCATCTACCCACCAATCTGCCAATCCATCCATCCATCCATCCAGCCAGCCATCCATCCAGCCACCCATCCATCCATCCACCCATCCACCCATCCACCTACCCATCTATCCATCCATCCGTCCATCTACCCATCAACCTATCCATCTACCCACCAATCTACCAATCCATCCATCCAACCAACAGCTATTAATGGACACCTGTCCTGTCTGGACACTACACAGGACAAGAAGGACCAGATGTAGCCACCCCAAGCACAGACAATCCAACACAAGGCAGCAGTGAGGCATGATGGGATGCTGGCAGGAGTGTTCCGGAACCAGGGAGCCAGAGCTCCACCCGGGAAGCAGTTCTCCCCCTTCACCTCCCCGAGAAATGGGGCTGATAACTGTGCTTCTCACGGCTCCATTCAGAAAGCAAGATTCTTCCCGGGTCGGAAGCTTCCTGAGGCAGCGAGTATGGACCTCACTACCCTCCTGGGACCATCCACAGCAGAGATGCGCTGGACTCCATTGATTGGAAGGGACGGTGAGACTCATTTTCTTACTCCAGAGCTCTTGGCTCCCAGAATTCACTTTCCTTTGTCAGTTGCCGGGCTTGAACTCAGGGCCTGGGCGCTGTCTCTGAGCTGTTTTGCTCAAGGCTAGCGCTCTACCACGTTAAGCCACAGCTCCACTTGAGTTTTTAGATGGTTCATTGGAGACAAGAGTCTCACAGACTTTCCTGCCTGGGCTGGCTTCGAACCGTGATCCTCAGCTCTCAGCCTCCTGAGTAGCTGGGATGACAGGTGTGAGCCACCGGTGCCTCCCAGAATTCATACTTTGAACAGATCGGGTTGGCTTACAAAAGGTTTTCCAAGCGCACTTTCCCAGGGGTCGTTCAGCTGGCTCCCACAAGCGGGGTTTAGTGAATTCACAACACAGCACCACTGTGTCTGTCTGTGTAGAACCCCCCGGACTGAGGACCGCTGTCTCCCAGAGACCCACAGCAGCTCCCTGGTATTCACACTTCCCTGCCTTCACCCCAGGCTGCACAGGCTGTCGGGGGGGACAGAGTCTGAAACAGAAATCACTATCACTGCAGAAGGACCTCTGGTGCTTTAAGGAAAATCAGCGCGCTCTGAGACGCTGCTCTGACCCGGCTTTGGAGCCCAGGGCGCCGAGGCCAGGAGGGCGCAGGTGGCCTGCCTGAGACCGTGCTGGATCTAGCATGGCTACTGGAGGCCATGACGTGTCACCACCCTGCTTACGTGCCCAGGGCCCTCCCACGGCCCCGGCACGCTCACTCTTCTGTCTACCCGGCGTCCCTCCACACGGGCAGAAGCAGAGACAGGTGCCCTTCCCTGCTCAGGGCTCCAGAAACCTCCAGCAACAGAGGGAGAAGCAGCCCCGGGTCTCCCGTTGCATTTTCAGATTCGAATTTGCGCTCCAGTGCATCTGATTGCACCAACGGCTCCGCTAGCCGGGCAGCACCTGCCTCCCTCCCCCGCCCCACTTCCGGCCCAAGGGAGGCCTGGCCTGGGCTTCGGAGCTCAGAGAAAGAAGGCCCTGGGCTGGGCCTGGGCCTCCACAAGTCTCCCTGGGGGGCCACCCATGCTGAATCAGGGTCTTCTGAGCCAAGAAGGCAGCAGGGCCTGAGGGCCTGAGGCCAAGGTGGGAACGGCCCCCCTCCCCCACCCCAGGAGGCCAAGTCTCCAGGTGGGGCCGTGCCAGGCTCCTAGGAGGGGCCAGGGGTCCTGTGATCCCACCTGGGCCCCGGGAGGACATGCCGGGAAGGTGTCCACCTTCCTCCCCCCTTCCTCTGTCCCAGGACCCCCGGTAGGGACGTGGGGAGATGCGCCCCAGACCCCCACCCGGCCAGGGTGGCAGGTGCCACGCATCTTCCCGCGCCAGGCTGGCCGCCCAGGTCCTTCCTCCCGGGCTCCCAGCTGGATCCCGCCCGCCCCGGCCCGCACCTACCCACGCCGAGCAGTTCCTTGTCGGTCCTGCGCCAGGGGGCCATGGCTGCCCGGGCCTGGTCCTCCCGTGGGGAACCGGCAGGGGTGGCAGGGCTGCAGGGCCACTTCCTTCCTCTTCGTGAACTCTCAGGTCCCGCCCTCCCCTCACTTCCCTCCCTCTGCCGCCCGCAGCAGGCCAGATGGCTGCCAGGGACCCGGCTCTGAAGGCCACCCACTGGTGTCTTCCCCAGGTGAGTGGGCCCGCCCAGATAACCCTGGGAGTAGTTTTCCGGATCTCTGAGTGTCCTGGTTCCACAGCTCCTACCTTCCCTGCGCAGGACTGGGCTTCTGTGGCAAGCGTCCACCGATCCCAACTCAGCCCAAGCAGCGCAGACTGCAGGCATGCATCATGATAGGAGCCCGGTGGGTATCCCCTCCACCATCCTAGGCCTTTGCAGGGATGACCGGAGTGAACTACCAGGACAAGCCCTCACCCACGTTTGTGGTCTTCCTAAATGCTGTGGTTGGAGTAGGCGCACCTCTGACTGGCTCCGTGATGGTTGATCTGTCAACTTGATCGGCTTCAGAGGTGTCTTCTGATGAGGACATGCTAGACCTCTCCACTTGCAGGGAGTTTGGTCTTCTTGCGATCCTAGACCAAAAGACGCATCAGCGAGACAGCTGCTGAAGTTTGTTAAGATCTGTAGATTGAAAAATATGAACCCTGTCAATGTTTCGTTTTCTTTAGTTATTTGGTCTTTGGGCTTCAGTTGTTGAGGATATTTTAACTAAAAAAATCTAGCTAGGCACAAGTGGCTAATGCCTATAATCTGGGCTCCTCAAGAGCCTGAGATCTAAGGTTGGAGGTTCAAAGCCAGCCCAGGCAGCAATGTCTGTGGAACTCTTTTATCTCCAATTAATCAGCAAAAACCTGGAAGTGCAGCTGTCGCTCAATTGGCAGAGCATTAGCTTTGAGCCAATAGCTCTCAGGGACAGTGTCTGGGTTCAAGCCCCAGGACCAATAAGTATGTGCGCACATGCACACATACACATACACACAAAATCTAACACAGACTGAGAACCAGGGCTGGGAAGGTGGCTCAGTGGTAGAGCGCTTGCCTTGCATGCATGAGGCCCTGGGTTCGATTCCTCAGCACCACATAAGCAAAAAGAAAAAAGCCGGAAGTGGCGCTGTGGCTCAAGTGGTAGAGCGCTAGCCTTGAGCTGAAGAGCTGAGGGACAGCGCCCAGGCCCAGAGTTCAGGCCCCCCGGCCGGACCTCCCCTCCCCCCGCAAAAAATGCTCAGGACCAGAAATGCCTCAGATTTCTTTTTATTGTAAAATATTTGCAAATACACGATAGATTTGGGATGCGAATTCATTCATTCCACGCTCTCATATCCCCGAGGGGAGCTTTGTGTGCTGCACTGGGGTTGTATCCTGGCCCAGGGACCCGGTGCTGAACTTTTAGTTCTTTGCATTCAGACCAGGGCTGGCCAGCTGTTACCTGCTGTGTCCTTTGGTTTGGAGCATGCATCTTCTCCAGGTTCTCTGGGGGCTGGGCAGGGGGGAGGAAGTCCTTTCCTTTATGTCATGGTTTTGTACAGTTCTAGTTTGGTTTTGCCTGTTTAAGTCAGGAAATTGAGGGCATGTTTACAAGGTTCCTCGTTAAAGGGAACCCCCGTCTCGGTGGGTGTGAGGAGGTAGTGTGGTTGGTAAGGCCTCCATGCTGTAGCCCGCACTGGCTTTGGGCTCAGATCCTTCTGCCTCAGCCTCCTAAGGGCTGGGTTCCAGGTGTGCCTCACCACACCGGTATGAGAATTACAGGTGCGTCCTCTGTCCACATATCAGACTCATCTATGTTGGCAGTGCTGGGCACAGAGCCCAGGGCCTCCCCCAGCCTGTCTCATCAGCAGTTTCTGTCGTCATGGTGGGGTCCTGGGAAGAGGTCCTGAGTCCTCTGTGATTTTGCCTGATAAGGTGGATACTGTCTTTACTGTAGTGAAATGCCTGAGGCAGGCTAAGTAAAACCGGTCCATTTCCCTCACACTTCCCGGGCCTTCCTTCCCCGTAGCCCTTATCATGGGCAGGCCCGTGGACACGTCAGGGCCCAGGCCTCCTCTCCTCTATGAGCCCCCAGGCCCTGAGTCAGGCTGCTGCCCTGCCAACCTCATGGCATCCCCATCGGCTCCGGAGCGGCGCTCAGGTTACAGCTGCACCGGGGTCTTCAGCGGTGGCCTTTCCAGAGCCCTGTGCTGCTCAGGGGAAGAGCCACACTCGAGCATGCTGGCTGCTCTTCATGTTATTTTCTACACGACGTCACTTGCAGAGGCAAATGTACCTTGGGAATTCATGTCTGTATTTCCTTTGTCTAATTATATTATTAGCAATAGGAGAGAATGATCTCAAGATCGGTCTTGTTCTTCTTACATGACTGGGAGAATACATTAGTGCATCAATGGGGCTTAAGTTTTCCCTGTGGAAAGGATTTTAAGTAACGACTAAAAGCTCCGTTTAGGGCTTCTGGTGCAGCGGTTACCCACCCCGCAGCTCCCACACGCAGTGACTCTGAGTATACTCTCCTCTGTCCTGGACATTAACTCACATTTTCTCTTTTTGACTTCATGGGCAGGAGTTTGTCAATCTCGCCAATGGGTTTAGATAACGTGCTTTTTTCTTTGTACATTCTCTATTATGTACTGGTGTATCAACTCATTGAATCTTGATGGTCCAACTGCTATGTGTAGGTTTTAAATCTACACAGGGAAACACACCGCTAATGTGTCAAAATTACTTGCCTTCCCCTGCTTGAGTCATAAAAATCTAAGCTGTGTAGATGACTACGGAGACTAAGAAATGTGCTTTAAATAAAGAAAACCTGTAACTACATATGCTTTCAAACAAAAGTCTCTATTTTTACAACAGTGAAAAACTAAGGTCATAAAAATCGTGGAAAGGAAAATACAGTATTTAACAAGGTCAGCGTTCTCTTTTTAAATGTGATCTCATCACTTGAAAGTTTTACATCCAAGACAGAAAGTAGAGGTACATTAACGATCATTTTCCTTCTGATAACAACCAGTTCTCTGTGATTCACAGAAGCTCTGGGAGGGGCCATGGCTTGGGCTTTCTCAGGTTAGCAGTGCAGCCACGTGGAGGGGTGCTGCCAAGCGTCTGCCAGCCGGTGTGAACCTCGGGCGCCCTCCTCCCCGCGGGGACGGCCTGGCCCTGGGGGCCCGACTCTACTGCTGTGCGCACTGCGCCTGCGCCGCCCCCGGCTTGGAGGACACGTACATCACGGGGTGTGGCTTCTTACACGGCTCCTTTCCCACCTTGCCTGAGTTTTCTTCTTCTTCCTTAACTTCTGCTTGAAGCCTTGCATCAGCAGCTAACCTGTAGGCATCAAAATATCCACTCTGAATTCAAAGGTGGTTAAGAAAAATCCAAGACCAAACCCTGGCAGTCTAGCCAGATTGAGGGGGCAGGGCACTGCTTTTTAAAATGTTTGAAAGACTTTTCTATATTAAGTACCTTAACTTTATTACATGTTTAAGAAACATCTTTAAGGTTGTTTTAAAAAACAAAGGGGGCACCTGGTAAAGCCTAAATTAGAGAATAAACTCAGCAGGTACCTCCAACAATAAGCACACGTAAGACAAGATTAACATGTGCAGGCCACGCCGTGACGTCGACTTGCATCAAGGTGGAGCACAAGGTAAGAACAAGTGGACCCTGGGCCGAGTCAACCGATGTCTATTTGTCACACGCAACCACAAACCAATTACCAGCATCATAGTTAAAGGTGTCTCACGCCTATAATCCTAGCTACTCAGGAGATCTAGGAACCTCAGTGGGAAAGCTGAAGTTCTCAAACAGAAAAGTTCTGGAGATTCTTACCAACAATTGAGTGCCAGCCAAGAGAGAACAAGCTGAGGAGAGTTCAGGGCCCTGGGTCTGAGCCCCAGAACCCACACACAAGAAAACGCAGACAGAGCAGGACTTCCAAAGGGGCGGTGAAGGTGTGTTGTAGGGAAGGCGTGGATTGAGGCTGTGAGCACTTGACAGCAAGGCTCCTAACAAAGCCGTCCTCGCTGTGACCAAACCTTCAAAATCCAACTTTGTCTAAGCGTGCAAAGCACAAAGCAGGAAACACACACACACACACACACACACAGTCGTCTCCTATTTCCTATGTGCTTAACAAGCAAGACAAAAAATTTCCAGCATGTAATTTGAGTCCAACAAATGGCCACATACATTTTTTTTCCCTGAAACAAAATAGGCCAGAAAAAGAAACGAAGGCAACGCAGACGGCAAGGGCCCAGGGCTGCACGGCAGGGCCGGAGCTCTACCTGCAGACAGACACACGCCACCAGGATCACCAGCAGGCAGGACCTGGGCCATCATGTGACAGACACCCAGGGAAGGGGAGGGAAGGGAAGGGAAGCCTCGCCTCAACACCTGGCTCTGCGTCTCTCCCAGAGACAGAGACCCTTACAGGACGCCACCCCAGCCAGCCAGAGCTGCATCTGGAGGCTCAGCTGTGAATGCCGGGCCCGGCTGGGGCCGGGCCCTGCAGAGACCTCTTCACTGGGCACAGCCCGGACCCGCACGCACAGCTAGCTAGCTAGCTGGCTACCTCCCTCCCTCCCTCCCTCCCTCACTGCTTCTTAAAAACACAAAGCCCTTTGAACGTGAAGTCCTTCAGATATATACGCCCGACTTTCTCTTTGAATTACGAACTCAATTATGCAGAAAATAAAGGCTTTGAAGTTTTAGAAAAATAAAAATAAATTAGCTTTATATTTAAAAAAGCCAAATATGTATCAAAGCCCATTTGTGAAGAGTTAATACACATGACATCAAAAGCCATGAAAAGTCACCTGTTTTTATAAACTGAAGTGTCTTAAGCCACTAGAAAGCCCTCTGAGCAGGCAAGTTAGACTTTCTTTCATCGCCGCTCTTACACAGAGGAAAACGAATGCTGCAACATTCCCATTTCACCAAGAGGCAGTCCAGCCTTGGGATCCCTCCTCCCCTCCGCTATGGCTTTCCTCTTTCTGTCTGGACAGGCTGAGGGCAGGCAGAGACACTGGGGAATCACACCGCAGGCAATGCAAGACAGCGGACAGGCAAGGCATGGTGCAGCTCCTGCGGGGGAGGGGGAGGGGAAGGGCTGCCCACCGCGGGCAGGCACAGACCTGGTGGAGCTGGGGGAGGGGAGTGGGGGAGGGCTGCCCACCGCGGGCAGGGCACAGACCTGGAGGAGCTGGGGGGGAGGGGAGTGGGGGAGGGCTGCCCACTGCGGGCAGGCACAGACCTGGCGGAACTGAGGGGAGGGGAGTGGGGGAGGGCTGCCCACCATGGGCAGGCACAGACCTGGAGGAGCTGGGGGAGGGGAGTGGGGGAGGGCTGCCCACCGCGGGCAGGCACAGACCTGGAGGAGCTGGGGGGAGGGGGAGGGCTGCCCACCGCAGGCAGGCACAGACCTGGTGGAGCTGGGGGAGGGGAGTAGGGAAGGGGGAGGGCTGCCCACCGCGGGCAGGGCACAGACCTGGAGGAGCTGGGGGGAGGGGGAGGGCTGCCCACCGCGGGCAGGGCACAGACCTGGTGGAGCTGGGGGAGGGGAGTAGGGGAGGGGGAGGGCTGCCCACCGCGGGCAGGGCACAGACCTGGAGGAGCTGGGGGGAGGGGAGTGGGGGAGGGCTGCCCACCGCGGGCAGGGGACAGACCTGGAGGAGCTGGGGGGAGGGGAGTGGGGGAGGGCTGCCCACCGCGGGCAGGGCACAGACTGGCGGAACTGAGGGGAGGGGAGTGGGGGAGGGCTGCCCACCGCGGGCAGGCACAGACCTGGAGGAGCTGGGGGGAGGGGAGTGGGGGAGGGCTGCCCACCGCGGGCAGGCACAGACCTGGAGGAGCTGGGGGAGGGGAGTGGGGGAGGGCTGCCCACCGCGGGCAGGGCACAGACCTGGTGGAGCTGAGGGGAGGGGAGTGGGGGAGGGCTGCCCACCGCGGGCAGGGGACAGACCTGGAGGAGCTGGGGGGAGGGGAGTGGGGGAGGGCTGCCCACCGCGGGCAGGGGACAGACCTGGAGGAGCTGGGGGGGAGGGGAGTGGGGGAGGGCTGCCCACCGCGGGCAGGGCACAGACCTGGAGGAGCTGGGGGGAGGGGAGTGGGGGAGGGCTGCCCACCGCGGGCAGGCACAGACCTGGAGGAGCTGGGGGAGGGGAGTGGGGGAGGGCTGCCCACCGCGGGCAGGGCACAGACCTGGTGGAGCTGAGGGGAGGGGAGTGGGGGAGGGCTGCCCACCGCGGGCAGGGCACAGACCTGGAGGAGCTGGGGGGGAGGGGAGTGGGGGAGGGCTGCCCACCGCGGGCAGGGCACAGACCTGGTGGAGCTGAGGGGAGGGGAGTGGGGGAGGGCTGCCCACCGCGGGCAGGGCACAGACCTGGTGGAGCTGAGGGGAGGGGAGTGGGGGAGGGCTGCCCACCGCGGACAGGGCACAGACCTGGAGGAGCTGGGGGAGGGGAGTAGGGGAGGGGGAGGGCTGCCCACCGCGGGCAGGGCACAGACTGGCGGAACTGAGGGGAGGGGAGTGGGGGAGGGCTGCCCACCGCGGGCAGGCACAGACCTGGAGGAGCTGGGGGGAGGGGAGTGGGGGAGGGCTGCCCACCGCGGGCAGGCACAGACCTGGAGGAGCTGGGGGGAGGGGGAGGGCTGCCCACCGCGGGCAGGCACAGACCTGGAGGAGCTGGGGGGGAGGGGAGTGGGGGAGGGCTGCCCACCGCGGGCAGGGCACAGACCTGGAGGAGCTGGGGGGAGGGGAGTGGGGGAGGGCTGCCCACCGCGGGCAGGCACAGACCTGGAGGAGCTGGGGGAGGGGAGTGGGGGAGGGCTTCCCACCGCGGGCAGGGCACAGACCTGGTGGAGCTGAGGGGAGGGGAGTGGGGGAGGGCTGCCCACCGCGGGCAGGGCACAGACCTGGAGGAGCTGGGGGGGAGGGGAGTGGGGGAGGGCTGCCCACCGCGGGCAGGGCACAGACCTGGTGGAGCTGAGGGGAGGGGAGTGGGGGAGGGCTGCCCACCGCGGGCAGGGCACAGACCTGGTGGAGCTGAGGGGAGGGGAGTGGGGGAGGGCTGCCCACCGCGGACAGGGCACAGACCTGGAGGAGCTGGGGGAGGGGAGTAGGGGAGGGGGAGGGCTGCCCACCGCGGGCAGGCACAGACCTGGAGGAGCTGGGGGAGGGGACTGGGGGAGGGCTGCCCACCGCGGGCAGGGCACAGACCTGGAGGAGCTGGGGGGAGGGGAGTGGGGGAGGGCTGCCCACCGCGGGCAGGCACAGACCTGGAGGAGCTGGGGGAGGGGACTGGGGGAGGGCTGCCCACCGCGGGCAGGGCACAGACCTGGAGGAGCTGGGGGAGGGGAGTGGGGGAGGGCTGCCCACCGCGGGCAGGCACAGACCTGGAGGAGCTGGGGGAGGGGAGTGGGGGAGGGCTGCCCACCGCGGGCAGGCACAGACCTGGAGGAGCTGGGGGAGAGGGGGAGTGGAGGAGGGCTGCCCACCGCGGGCAGGCACAGACCTGGAGGAGCTGGGGGGAGGGGGAGTGGGGGAGGGGGAAGGCTGCCCACCGCGGGCAGGCACAGACCTGGAGGAGCTGGGGAGAGGGGGAGTGGGGGAGGGCTGCCCACCGCGGGCAGGGCACAGACCTGGAGGAGCTGGGAGGGAGGGGAGTGGGGGAGGGCTGCCCACCGCGGGCAGGGCACAGACCTGGAGGAGCTGGGGGGAGGGGGAGGGCTGCCCACCGTGGGCAGGCACAGACCTGGAGGAGCTGGGGGGAGGGGGAGGGCTGCCCACCGGGGGCAGGGCACAGACCTGGCGGAGCTGGGGGAGGGGAGTGGGGGAGGGGGAAGGCTGCCCACCGCGGGCAGGGCACAGACCTGGCGGAGCTGGGGGAGGGGAGTAGGGGAGGGGGAAGGCTGCCCACCGCGGGCAGGGCACAGACCTGGCGGAGCTGGCAGAGCTGGGGGAGGGCCCGTCGCACTCATCCAAGGCTTGGGCGGCTGCGGGGGCGTCCACAAGCGTCACACACTTCCTTTCCTTCTTGCGCTGTGCGTCTGGGGGCAGATCTTGGCGAGCAGGGACGCCGGTGGCGGGCTTGTCCACAGAGACTGACTTTTCTAACGGGAAGTTATCTCTTAAGTTGTTTGGACAGGACTGTGTCTCCTCTTTGCCAGGTGAGAGTCTAGAAACCTCCTTCCCAGCAGCGCTGTGGGCAAGCTGGCCTTCGGGGGTGGCTCCGTCCACGGGCAGCACCTCCCGCCTCTTCTTGAGAACAGGCACGTCCATGGCCTCTGCGATGGAAACCATTGGGAAACCAGTCAGCGAGGCGTGAGAGGCCCAGCCCTGCTGTCCTCTCCCACCGACACACACTCCCTTCACCGCATCTTCCAAGCGGACCAGGCCACACTGCTCCCCTGGGAACTTCAGAACGAGCACTGGGCTCTGGAGTCTTCACGCTGCCTCGCTCGGTGGAGTGGGCACGGAAGGACCCTTGCTCACTACGTCAGTGTCTAGGGATCGCGTGCCAAGGAAGGACCCGCTGAACACCGGGGGCGCGTGAGGCGCACCTCGCAGACACCCCTCGGGACTAGTCAGAACCCCACCCCACCACGGGGAGCTCCCCTCACGCAGCACCCCCCACCTGCCATCACAGCCCCGGTTCCTGTGCCCGGTGGGGACAGAAAGTCACCGAGTCACATGCTCGACTCTTTCTTCCACCTGAGTGCACCTGCCACGGCAGTGAAAGCATGAGTGAGCCGAAGCCAAGTACAACAGCGCCACGCAGGATGGGCTTGTCCGTCTGTAACACGAGCAGATTTTTCCTTCTGTGTCACACGGGGGGTTTGTCCGTCTGTGTCACACGGGACGGGTTTGTCCATCTGTGTCACACGGGACAGGTTTGTCCGTCTGTGTCACACGGGACGGGCTTGTCCATCTGTGTCACACGGGACGGGTTTGTCCGTCTGTCACACGAGCAGATTTGTCCTTCTGTGTCACACGGGGGGTTTGTCCGTCTGTGTCACACGGGACGGGCTTGACCATCTGTGTCACACGGGACAGGTTTGTCCGTCTGTGTCACACGGGACGGGTTTGTCCGTCTGTGTCACACGGGACGGGCTTGTCCGTCTGTGTCACACGGGACGGGCTTGTCCATCTGTGTCACACTGGACGGGTTTTGCTGCAACTGCTTCCACTACACCTGCCTTGAGGCACATCTTCTATTCTTGTGCTCAGTGCCCAGTTCATTTAATGTGCCTATCATTCTTTGTTGTTGCTGTTGGTCACAGGGCTTGAACTCAGGGCCTGGGCACTGTCTTGTGAGCATTTTTTGCTCAAGGCTAATGCGCTACCACTTTGAGCCACAGCTCCACTTTTGGTTTTCTGATGAGTAACTAGAGATAGAAGAGTTTCACTGGCTTTCCTTTGGTTGGCTTTGGACTGTGATCCTCAGATCTCAGCCTCCTGAGTAGCTAGGATTATAGGTGTGAGACACCAACACCTGGCTTGTTCTTACAATTTTGTAGCAGTAAATTTTCCTTAAGCCATATATATGTATACGTACATATATACATATATATAAAACCACAAACTTGTATATAAAAAGACTTAAAAAAAGTTGATACAAATTCTCAGCGCTATTCCTGCCTTGAGACAAAAGTAAACCAAGTCCACACACCTACACACACACACACACACACACACACACACACACACACACACACACACACACACACACACGTATCTACCTTCGGGTTCGTACTTCAACTTTAACTCATCCAGCTTGGCTCTCAGCTTCATGTTCTCACTTTCCACAACCTGCAGGCACCTTTCCTGGGCAAAGAGTTTTCGCTCAAAATCCAGGGAGCGCTGGCTCTCAAACAAGGCCTTCATCCGCTGGATGGACAGCTCACCTCGGGTGCTCTCGTTTTCTTTGCTACAGTGGCAGAGAAGTCCAAGTTCACACACAGAACAGACATGTGCTCCGGAGTGAACTTGTGTATTTGAACACTTAGCTAAAAATGTGTTTCTCTGGCATTTTTACTAACAACAAAATAATTAAAATAAGGTTTAACAATGGCAACTCTCTCCAACAAAAAAAGAATTCCCGCTGGGAAGGTGGCTCAGTGGTAGAGCACTTGCCTCGCATGCATGAGGCCCTGGGTTCCATTCCTCAGCACCACATAAACAGTGGTGTTATGGCTCAAGTGTAGAGCGTTAGCCTTGAGTTGAAGAGCTGAGGGGCAGCGCCCAGGCCCAGCGTTCAGAATTCCTGCATTCTTTTCCAATGTATCTATATGACAGTTTAAGTTTCAAATTACATGTTCTTCAAAATGCTCTGGACTGAGAGCACTTTCTGGTTTTTGTTTTGTTTCTCGCAGTGCTGCCCGCGGCCAGGACACCTACTTCAGCTCCTGGATCTTCAGCTGCAGCAAGTCTGTGTAGTAGCTGCTGTCCTGCGGAGTGGAGGGGCTGGCCTCTGCCGGGGGCTTCTGCTTCACACTCTCATACAACTCCTAGGGAGAGCACGGGTTCTCAGTCCACACCGCTGCAGGCTGACAGGCAAGGCCAGCTCCGTGCACTGCCCAGCTCCCACCACAGGGTGGCAGCATGCCCACAACTACTCTGCCCCACTCTTATAGGCAAGGGGACAGAGAAGAAAGACAGACTCTGAACCCAGGCTGGCTGCACAGTCTGTGCTTCCAACCACATCGCTGCCTGTTTCAACTTCTGGCTTGTTTTTTTGTCAGTCGTGGGGCTTGAACTCTGGGCCTGGGCGCTGTCCCTCAGCTCTTCAGCTCAAGGCTAGCGCTCTACCACTTGGAGCCACAGCGCCACTTCTGGTTTTCTGGAGATAAGAGTCTCAGGGACTTTCCTGCCCGGGCTGGCTATGAACTGCGATCTTCTAATCTCAGCCTCCTGAGTAGCTAGGATGATGGGCGTGAGCCACCAGCTCACATGAGCACCCAGCACCTTCTGGCTTTTTGAACAGAAAGAAAAGCTGGCTGACTTGAATTCTGAACTTGATAAAACCAAAAGAGGTCTGAAGTTCCTTCTGGTACCTATCCATGCCCCCAACATTGACATAAAGTGTATTTCTGCAGGGGGAAAAACGTCAATCTTAAAAAAAAAACAAAAACTTGCAGGGAAAAAAGTAGAACTCCAGACCCACGGGTGGGCAGCATCACAGCAACAGGGCAAGCCTGACGGACTCCCTGTAAGCCAGCCTAGGCCTGCGGAGATGAACTCCCCTGTGCAACTAACTGGGGCTAATAAAAAACAAAGAAAACCAGGAGAAAATAAACACTGAGTCAGTGTGTACGAAACACCTCAATTCCATATAATAAAGAAACCTATTTTAAGGCCAGGGCTCATGCCTGTAATCCTAGCTACTCAGAGGGTTGAGACCTGAATGGTCATGCCTTGAAGCCAAGCCAGGCGGAAGCTTCTGCTAGATCCCGTCACCAGTCGGCTAGCAGAATGTCAGTCTGGAGGCATAGCTCACGTGAGTGCCGCCCAAGAAAGAGCACACAAGCCAAGCAAGCCCAAGGCCGAGCTGAAGCCCCAGAACCAGAAGACCAGCACAAAAACTGAACAACAACAGAGTAAGTGAGAAGCAGCGAGAAATTCAAAATGTGCTATCTTTTAAAGTTTTCACATACCTTAAATTTCTCCAGATTTCTAACCTCCCCTAGAAGATGCTTTATCTCCCCATTCTTCTGCTCCACCATGGTAAACAACCGCTCTTGCTGCTCACACTCTGCCTGGGACCCTCTCATTTGTAGCAACGTGGCAATTTGTAACTGGAAAAAAGCCGCAAGCACATACAATAAGGCAGAGACTTAACAAGAGCACCTCTGGTACAATCTTACCTTGTATGTGAGTCTAAACTTTAAAAAAGGATTCGAAATGCTGTAAGTCAAAACTCGGTGGCTGTTTCTCATCTTGTATTTTAACAACACACAGCAGTAAGTCCTGCTGTAGGCAGAACTTTGGGTGTATTTATCCTGCTTTTTACCCGTGTCTGAAGCCCTTGGCGTAACCGTGTATGCTTTGGGAGCTCCCCAGCGCCCGCTCTACCTTCATCCGCTGCATCTGCTCTCGGTAGAAGGCATTCTGCTTCTTCAGCGTCTGATACTTGACCTTCATGCTGTTGAGCTGCCGCTCCATGGCCGCCCTCCGATCTTCTACCTGGGAAGTACTCCTGCGTCTCACTGTTCTCGTGAGCCAAACGCCAGCGCCATCCAACCCCTGGTGGGTTTCCCCCAAGTACCTCCGCAAACAGTGAGTTGCCCTTGCTGTTGGGGTCCAGTGCCTGCTGCAGGGCCTGATTCAGCTGCAGCTGCAGATCCTGGCTCTCCACCCGTGCTTTCTGCATTCAGAAGAAAGCATGCATGGTGGATGGGCTGACGCGCGGCACTGAGGCTGGAGCCGAGCCTGGGGTCCTCACCGTACCTCCAGGGCGCTGTAGCAGGACGCCGCTTCCTTCTCCCGCTCGTCCTTCTCTGCCCTGAGCTGCTCTGCCTGGCGCATCAAGTCGGCGCTCAGATGCTCCAGTCTCTCCTGAGCGTAGCGGAGCTCACGCACCTCTTCTTCCAGGCCCGCCTGCTCCAAGGGGAGATGGTGAGGAGGCACTCCCGTGCACCGCGCAGTGGCGGCTCACTCCCCAAACTAAAACTAAATAACTGTTCGGGGGCTCTTCGGTGAATACTAGACTTTTTAGCAGAAAAAGAAAAGGCTCTCGAGGACCCTCCTCTTTTCCTACCAACTCAAGCCCTTAACCTTGGTCTCCAGCCCAGCCCACCAGCCTTCGCACTGGTGAAGGAACGCAGGGCCGTCCCCAGGGGCAGCCCACCTTCAGGCGCGCCACATCAGACAGCTCCTTTCGCAGGGCCAGCGTCTCCGAGGGGGTGCTCTCCTGCCGGCGCTCGGACACGAGCCGCAGCTCCTCCGCCTTCTGCGCCAGGAGCTCCTTCTGGTGCTCTACCTTGTGCCCCAGCTGCTTCTCACGGAGCCTGGCCTCGTCCAGGTCTGCCTCCAGCCTTCCCAACTAAAGCAAAACAGGAGGAAGATTTGAGATGCTGCAAGTCAAAACCACCATTGTACTACGGAAGTTTCCTATTCGCCCAAGGCTAGACATCAAGTGGGGGTGGGAACTAATGCCAAATGAAAACAACACCTAGGGAGAGGAGGAGAAATACAGCATTACTGCTCAGCAGTGTCTCTGAGATTTACATAAACTAAGCTAGGTTACCCTCTCTGAGTCCTGGGGAATGACTGTATTACACAAAAGCAGCACTAATAATGCATATTAGACGGAAATTAACACACTAGCCCAAATATGTGACCTCACTGATACAGCTATTACAGTGGGAAAGCATCTCAGGCACTGGTGGCTCACGCCTGTCATCCTAACTACTCAAAGAGGCAAATAAATCTGAGGATCGCTGTCTGAAACCAGCTTGGACAGAAAAATCCGTAAGACTTGTATCTCCCAATTAACCACAAAAATCCGAAAGCACAGGTGTGGCTCAAGTGGTAGAGTGCCAGATGTGAGGGAAAAAGCCAAGACAGATTGCAAGGCAAGGCCCAGAGTTCAAGCCACAGTACCTCCTCTCATACAAACACACGCACACGTACATACATGCACGCGCATATGCACACACAGAAAACACAGGTAATTTACTGAAAATTAAGTAATGACAGGTGGTACAAAGACATGGAAAAACCAGAAGATGATACACAAAAACTTCTAAGAGAGCAGAAGAGTCAAGGCAAGTTCTGGTAGAAGGCCCAGACCTGACAGCATTTCAGGTTAAAGCACTGGGTAACTGGGTGCTGGAAGGCGCCCACTCCAGTGGTCCTGTTCTCCCGTGTGTCCAAGTGGAGCCAGCATGCAGGGCCTCAGCCATGACTGACCATGCAGTCATGGAGAGAGAATGGGTCCTCTCTGATGGTGTTATCTGTAGTTAGCGGGTGCCTGCTGTAACTTATACTAATTCATGAGGAGTTCCTGATTAGTTCTGCAGAATTGCAAAGTAGAGCATGAGCTGCGGCAGGCGGGCAGATTCCTCCCACAAGGGCACTGCTGCACTGTGTAGGCCCAGCCCTTTGCCGGGCCAACTGTGTCCCTCACTCGGGCTTGTGTGTGAGCTCGTGTCCAGTCCCTGCTGCCAGGCTCATGGCAGGGATCCAGACTGGGCCGTACTTGGGGAAGCCTGTCTGCTCATGTCCACACGGCACTGCACAGAGACGGGGGATTTGCTCTGGAACGCGGACACCCCACCTTGCCTCTGAGCTCCTCTGCCTCTTGCGCATGCCGTCGGCCCAGCTGCTCTTCCAGCTGCTCCAGCTGCAGCTTCTGCTGCTGCTTCATGGCTTCATACTCACAGCTCAAACTCTCTAGCATGCGGCTCTTAAGCTCCACAGCTCTCTGAAGAGTGTATTTTTCTTGTTCATATTTCTGCAAACAGATCCAGTTACAACCCAATTACACAAACACCCACTACATTGATCACACGTAGCCAGGCTCACTTCTGACTACTTCAGTCTATTTTAAATGTCTACTGCTCACCATGCACCAGGCATACAGCATCTGGAGTTAACTGTGTGACTCAGCCTCAGTGAACTCTGTGGACAAGTCTGACACACGTGAAGGAGTCTCACAAACTCCCAGGGAGGTGAATACAGGGACTGGTCCCAGTGGGTGGCCGGTTGCCAAGCACCAGCCTTGGCAGCCGGCCCTGGGAAGGAGTGGAGGTGAAGGTGTACTCTGGCTCTCATGGAGCCATGACTGAAGAGAAGTGGTCTGAAGGGAGATCAGTTCATGAGGGACCCCCGAGCCCACATAAAGAACTCAGGTTTTATTGTCCAGAGGCCTGAAGCCTTGTGTGCCTGGTGCAGGGAGGGGCACAATCTTTCGGGTATTCCCTGCGGGCCTTGGGAGCCATGTGAGGATGACAGTGTGAGTGGCAGGCTGGGAGCAGGCAGGCCCAGCACAAGGGGCCGCTGTGGCCCAGTGCAGAGAGGACGGTGGCCGGGGCACAGCTCTGCCTGGGTGGATGGCTTATCGGTCAAGTACTAAGAAGCAAACGATAAACATGAGACTCTGGGGTTTTTGTGAATGCTATTCCACTTACAAAAGAGAACCAAAAAAGAACGCTTGCTTAGTGGGCAGAGATCAACTATTATTTACACTTTTCCTTTTCAGGGGTGGTACTGGGGTTTGAAATCAGGGCCTCATGTTTGCCAGGCAGGGGGTGCTCGACCAAGTCATGCACCCAGCACAGTTTCCTTCTGTCACGATTCAGATGTCCACAAGTGATAGCTGAATAAATAAGTGGGCTTCCGAGGAGAATGAAAGGCCTGCGAAGTGTCACGGGACATTCAGACGTCACGGAGCTCTGAAACAGGTCAGGCCCGCTCAGCAGCATTCAGACAAAGCCACACCAGGGGTCAGAATGGCAAAATGTGGTAAAAGTAATCAAACTGGATTTTTTTTTTTAAAACATCAGAATACATTAGGTTAGAAAGAATATGAGTAATTCATTTAGTTCATTCTCCTTTAATATGGAAGGGGTGTACAAGGAATGGGATTATGCTGTAAAAAACAAATAATAATAATAATAGCATCACAAACCTCCAGTGGCTAACCAGGCCCTTATAAACCCAAGTGCACAGCCCTACCTCAGTCACGGCCATCAGCTCATGACGACACTGATCCAATTCATTCTGCAATTCAGTTTGGCTCTCCAGGAGCTGTAGGCCATACTGCGCAGCTTTCAGTCGCTCTGATTCAGCCTCTTTGAGCTTATTTCGAAGACCTGTCATTTTGTCTTCCTCCATGTTCCTCTCCTGTCTTCAGCTGCCTATAAACTGAAGAAATATGATTACTTGAGCTTACATGTAACTCGGAAAAAAAGCTTACAAACGCAACCTCATTGCCACACACAAACATAAAGTACTGAGATTCAATTCTTGACTTCTAAATAAGAGGTCAGACCTACTTCTTATTCCAAGAACAAGAATTACTTTTGGTAATTTTGTTCCTTGGTTTGAGCTCAACACAGAAAAAGAAAAACACATTTAATTTTGCTTCCAAGAAACTTGCCATCTGGAAATGTCTGGGTGATTTGTGCCCAGTGTACAATGTTAAGGGAGAGGTTCCCATGCAACTCACGAGAACAAGCGAAACCCAGAAACTCTGTAGTAGCGTGACGGTGCATCCAGTGTAAAAGGGCGTTTGAAGAACACCGTGTCTGAGGTATCACGATACTGAGTACTGACCACTGGATCTGAATTAACGGAGGTCACTTGTGACCCCAGGGGCAGCAGTGGCAGAGGAGGGGACGAGAGCCCCAATGGAGTGGGTTTAAGAGGATGCAAATAGCAGAAACTGGAGGAGCAGCTGTAGAGGGGATAACAGCAACGTACAGAAAAGTAACAACAAGCTTGTATACCAGAAGAGTGAAAACCTATTACACAAGGGGCGATGGACTGCCCTGATTCAAGAAGATGATGAGTTCTAACGTGCAGGGACTAGCACAGGGACACTCCGGGTAGACACAGTGAGTGAAATATGTGTAGGTGACCTTCCAAATGATTCCATGTGTCAACGAATTTGGACACAAGATGAAGAATGAAGATGAGGAAGGAAAACATGGGGCTTCAAAAGAGAGAAAACTGATCACAGGTTACTCACTGAGGGCTGGCAGCTACCGCTTTATAATGGAAACGTTTATGCGCCTGCACGGTGGCGCGGCCAGCTGGCTAAGCACTGCGCTGCTGCTGTAACCAACACCTGCGGACTCAACTGCCTCAAGTACCTCATTCTGCTTCACTCTTGGAGGTCTGAGTTAACTGGACATTGTCCTCTCAACATCTGCCAGGGAAATAAGGAGCTAACCTCAAGATAGTCCCATGGACTATCCCCAGGAAGCCACAAGTAGCTCTCATGCATTCGAAGAATCTGATTGGACTCCTATGAAATTGGCACTGTGTCCGCAGCGAGGGCACCATGGAGGCTCAGACGCCAGGCAATGCCTGGGCTTTCCTCCGGAGGGTACATCCATCCGTAAAGCGGTGTTCTGCCTCCTGCCCGCACGATAGACACAGGCAAGAAGAAGCGACAGGGAGCGGCGCGAGGCCCTTACCGGGGGACCTGCCCTCCTGGGTAGGGAAAGTTCCCCGGGCCGGGCCGCGGGCGGGGATCTGCGGGGTGAGCGGGAGCCGGGCCGCGGGCGGGGATCTGCGGGGTGAGCGGGAGCCGGGCCGCGGGCGGGGATCTGCGGGGTGAGCGGGAGCCGGGCCGCGGGCGGGGATCTGCGGGGTGAGCGGGAGCCGGGCCGCGGGCGGGGATCTGCGGGGTGAGCGGGAGCCGGGCCGCGGGCGGGGATCTGCGGGGTGAGCGGGAGCCGGGCGCCGCCGCGGAGGGCGGGCCGCAGGCGGCACCCCGGCGCGCACGGCTGCGCGGGCCGCTCCGCACGGGCGATACCCACGCCTGCCCGGGGTCCTCCGCGGGCGAACGACCCAGGAGACGGGGCGAGTCCGCACCGAGCCTCCCCTCCAGCCTTCAAGGCGAGGCGCTCACCCAGCACTCGAGGGAGGAGAAGCTCCGGCCGAATGCGGCCCGGCCCCGGCCCCGGCCCCGGCCCCGCCCTCCCCGGCCCCGGCCCCGCGCTCCCCGGCCCCGCCCCGCGCTCCCCGGCCCCGCCCCGCGCTCCCCGCCCCGCCCCGGCCCGGCCCGGCCCCGCGCCACGCTCCCCGCCCCGCGCTCCCCGCCCCGCGCTCCCCGGCCCCGCCCCGCGCTCCCCCGCCCCGCGCTCCCCGGCCCCGCCCCGCGCTCCCCGGCCCCGGCCCCGCGCTCCCCGGCCCCGCCCCGCGCTCCCCGGCCCCGCCCCGCGCTCCCCGCCCCGCCCCGGCCCGGCCCGGCCCCGCGCCACGCTCCCCGCCCCGCGCTCCCCGCCCCGCGCTCCCCGGCCCCGCCCCGCGCTCCCCGCCCCGCGCTCCCCGGCCCCGCCCCGCGCTCCCCGCCCCGCGCTCCCCGGCCCCGCCCCGCGCTCCCCGCCCCGCGCTCCCCGGCCCCGCCCCGCGCTCCCCGCCCCGCGCTCCCCGGCCCCGCCCCGCGCTCCCCGCCCCGCCCGCCCCGGCCCCGCCCGGCCCCGCGCCACGCTCCCGGCCCCGCCCCACACTCCCGGCCCCGCCCCGCCCGCCCCGGCCCCGCCCCGCCCCGCCCCGCCCCGCGCTCCCCGGCCCCGCCCCGCCCCGGCCCCGCCCCGCCCGCCCCGGCCCCGCCCACCCCGGCCCCGCCCCGGCCCCGCGCCGCCCCGCCCCGCCCCGCGCTCCCCGGCCCCGCCCGCCCCGGCCCCGCCCGGCCCGCCCCGCGCTCCCCGGCCCCGCCCCGCCCGCCCCGGCCCCGCCCGCCCCGCCCCGGCCCCGCCCGCCCCGCCCCGGCCCCGCCCGCCCCGGCCCCGCCCCGGCCCCGCCCCGCCCCGCGCTCCCCGGCCCCGCCCGGCCCCGCCCCGCCCCGCGCTCCCCGGCCCCGCCCGCCCCGGCCCCGCCCGGCCCCGCGCTCCCCGGCCCCGCCCCGCCCGCCCCGCCCGCCCCGGCCCCGCCCGGCCCCGCCCCGCCCGCCCCGCCCCGCGCTCCCCGGCCCCGCCCCGCCCGCCCCGGCCCCGCCCGGCCCCGCGCTCCCCGGCCCCGCCCCGCCCGCCCCGGCCCCGCCCGGCCCCGCGCTCCCCGGCCCCGCCCCGCCCGCCCCGCCCGCCCCGGCCCCGCCCCGCGCTCCCCGGCCCCGCCCCGCCCGCCCCGCCCGCCCCGGCCCCGCCCGGCCCCGCCCCGCGCTCCCCGGCCCCGCCCCGCGCTCCCCGGCCCCGCCCGCCCCGGCCCCGCCCGCCCCGCCCTCCCCGGCCCCGCCCCCGCCCCGCGCTCCCCGGCCCCGCCCCGCGCTCCCCGGCCCCGCCCCGCGCTCCCCGGCCCCGCCCCGCCCGGCCCCGCCCCGCGCTCCCCGGCCCCGGGTCGCACCGGTCCAGCGCCGGACCGCGTCCGGCCGGAAACGCGTCCGCGAGCGCCGGGTTCCGGGCGAGCAGCGTCCGCCCTCCGCGGCCCGGCCCGGCCCGGCCCGCCCCGCCTCACCTCCGCTCGCTCCCCGGCGCCGGCGGCCGCCGAGCTGCGCGATCCGGGCGCCGCGGCCGCCTCAGGACCGGGACTCCCCGACCTCCGGTCCCCACAGCCCTCCGCCGGCGCCACCGCGTTTGAACGCAGTCCCGCGAGAACTCGCACGTCTCGCGGGAAGACCCGCCCCAACCTCGCGTCCCGGAACCCAGAGGGACTTCCGGCAGGGCGTCCCGCCCACTTCCGCTGCGGGCCGGGCGCGCGTGCCGGGTGGCTGGCGGCCCCGCGACGGTGCGACCGCGCCCCCCGCGCCCCCAGCGCCCCGCGACGGTGCGACCGCGCCCCCCCGCGCCCCCAGCGCCCCCAGCGCCCCCAGCGCCCCCAGCGCCCCGCGACGGTGCGACCGCGCCCCCCGCGCCCCCAGCGCCCCGCGACGGTGCGACCGCGCCCCCCCGCGCCCCCCGCGTCCCCAGCGCCCCGCGACGGTGCGACCGCGCCCCCCGCGCCCCCCGCGCCCCCAGCGCCCCCAGCGCCCCCAGCGCCCCGGGCCTCCAGCGCCCCCAGCGCCCCCCGCGCCCCCAGCGCCCCCAGCGCCCCCACCGCCCCGCGACGGTGCGACCGCGCCCCCCGCGCCCCGCGACGGTGCGACCGCGCCCCCCCGCGCCCCGCGACGGTGCGACCGCGCCCCCCGCGCCCCGCGACGGTGCGACCGCGCCCCCCGCGCCCCGGGCCCCCAGCGCCCCCAGCGCCCCGCGACGGTGCGACCGCGCCCCCCGCGCCCCCAGCGCCCCGCGACGGTGCGACCGCGCCCCCCGCGCCCCCAGCGCCCCGCGACGGTGCGACCGCGCCCCCCGCGCCCCGGGCCCCCAGCGCCCCCAGCGCCCCCAGCGCCCCGGGCCCCCAGCGCCCCCAGCGCCCCGGGCCCCCAGCGCCCCCAGCGCCCCGGGCCCCCAGCGCCCCCAGCGCCCCGGGCCCCCAGCGCCCCCAGCGCCCCGGGCCCCCGAGCCTCCAGCGCCCCGGGCCCCCAGCGCCCCCAGCGCCCCGGGCCCCCGAGCCTCCAGCGCCCCGGGCCCCCAGCGCCCCCAGCGCCCCGGGCCCCCGAGCCTCCAGCGCCCCGGGCCCCCAGCGCCCCCAGCGCCCCGGGCCCCCGAGCCTCCAGCGCCCCGGGCCCCCAGCGCCCCGGGCCCCCGAGCCTCCAGCGCCCCGGGCCCCCGAGCCTCCAGCGCCCCGGGCCCCCAGCGCCCCGGGCCCCCCGCGCCCCGGGCCCCCAGCGCCCCCAGCGCCCCGGGCGACCGCGGCCCCAGCACCCCGGAGCGGCGCGACCTCGCCCCCAGCGCCCCGGGGCAGTAGGGCTCCATGCCCTCAGCACCCTGGGGCAGCACAGGCATGTCCCCTAGCACCCTGGGGAGGGGCGACTGTGTCCCCAAGCACCCCGAGGCAGTGGGAATCCACGCCCTCAGCACCCCGGGGAGGCGTAGCCGTGCCCCCAGCACCCCCGGGCGCTGGCGGTCAGTTGTGGTTCTGTGGACGGCTGAGATGCCTGCAGGGCCGGAGGACAGGATCCGTGGAGGCCACTGCGTCCCGCACCTGACAGTTGGGAGGGCTGCTGGTCAGTTAAGATCTTGAAATACGTCCTCATTTTGTCTCGTGCTGGCACGGAGCTGTAGGCAAGCCTGGGTTGAGTGCTGCTGGTGCCACCACCGGACAGTAATGACACTGGGAAAAGAAATCCAGCCGGCCTGCTCACAGCCAGCTCATAGGGCTGAGCCCCGGGTCAGCCCTCGAGACCCACGGCCAGAAGAAAGAGCTCCAGTCTGTTCACAGACAGAGAGACGGGGCTTTGTGTCACACCACAGAGGATTCAAACACAGGAAGGGACTTTACCTGCTGAGCAGCACAGCAAATCCACCCAGCCCACCATAATCCCCAGTGCCGGCCCCGCACAGAACTGGGGATAAACCCTTCCTTCATGGCAACCGCTCTGGCCCACTGAATTACTAGGAACCACAGAGTGGGGTGTTAGTGCGTCTTGAAAAGCGGTATTTATTCTGACTCAAGCCTACTTAATCTGGGTGCCACAGGTGAATCGTCTACTCAAAGGAGCTTAGAGTTTAGCCAAAGAGCCATTTGCTCAACAGCAAACTCTCACTTAGAGGATTTGTTAGACTTCCTTGTTCTTTGCGTGATTAAATAGCGCTGTGAGCCGGTCTTCGTTGCAGGTCAAGCAGACACAGGCCCCGGAGCCAAGACACAAGAGCCGGCTTGATTCCGTTCTGTGGCTCATACGGGAGGGGAGCGTCTGAAAGTCGCACTGGAAGGTGTGGTTGCTGTACTGTGTGGGACGGAGGAAGGATGTACAGGGAGAAGGGAGCTCTGCACAGGACGTGGGGAGCCGACCTCCACAGAGGAAGAGAAGAATCCAGCAGGAGAAACGGAAGAGCCGTCTGAGAAGAGGTCCAGAACTGGGGTTGTCGCAAGTACTACGGTGCTCAGAACGAAGACTTGTAGCGGGGAGGCGGGTTTGACTGTGAATAGTGACAAGTCAGGGTTCGCAAGACGCCTTCCTAACCCATAGCTGGGCACAGTGGCACGTGCCTGGCATCCCAAACTAGGAGTCTGAGATTGGGAAGATGGAAAGTTCCAGGCCAGACTGGGCAAAAATGTCCATGACACTGCTCTTCGGCGGAAGGGAGCTACAGGCGGAGTAGTCCCAGAGATGGGAAGGCAGATGGCGGGCCAGGTTTGTACCCAGGCAGGTGGTGAGGCAGTATCTTCCAAAGTAGCCAGAAGCAGAGCTGGGGGCCGGGAGGTAGAAGGCCCTCCTAGCAAGGGCGAGTCCTTGAGTTCAAGTTCTACTCCCTCGAAGAAAAGATGTGTGAGGAAAACTGCCAAGCCCTGCTTCCTGAGGGGGTGCCCGTGATGGTAGTTACTGCTTACGACCTGCCTCTGCCGTGCCCATTAAATACTGTAAGAAATTGGGGTACCTGTTCAATTCACTCCTGAATAAGACACATTCAAGAGGCCTGAGTTACAGGCCTCCCTATTCTGTGGCCTCAAATTTATTTGACCTGCCGTGGAGGGCGGGGGTAAAACTTGAGTCTTAGCCTCTGTCTGAGGGGATGAGGTTGACACGTTACGTTTTTGTGCACAAGCACACACACACACACACACACGTGTGCACACACACAGGAATTCCGTTGTGAGGTGGCAGCTGTCCTGATTGATGCTTCACTTGGTGTATTTGATGTTGAGGGAAAAGTTTAAAAAAAAAATCCCATTGGGAGTGCCCACCATGCACGGGGGCTGGGGGGGGGCGCGGGGGGGGGGTCAGGGGAGTGTGCGAAACAGTCGCAGGATCCCAGGCTTCACCCCAGGTCTCCCGCCTGCGGCCAGGAGATGGCAGCCTTGGCAAACATTTCCTCTGACGGAAGCCAGCGTCCGCACAGACAGGTGGTTACTTACTGCCTGCTTTTCAGCTGATTCATACTGTGCCCTGTAGCTGATCACTTGAGATCATTATTCAGCCTCCTCTGGGATACGCGTCCCCTCCCTCTGCTTTACTCCTTGGCTTCTTCCTGCAGAGACCCCACGATCAAGGGTTAAGAATGCAACACCCAGAAATGCCAGCCGTGGTCACACGGGTCCTAAAACCAGTCGATGGCTCTGCTGTGACCTTCCTCAGCCCCAGAGCACCTAGCTTCGTTGGCGGCTGTGATCGCCGAGGGCAGGGGAGCGAGCACTTTCATAGGCCATCGATGAGTATGGGCACTGTTGGGTTTTCGTTATCAAGAGCCTCGTCGCAGCCTCAATGTGATTTCCTCCTGGACCCTCTTCTGACCAGCTCACACCACCCCCTCCAGACACCTGCCCTTCTTCGGAACGCCGGCATCCGCGGGCGTCTGGGTGGCCTGCCTCGGTGCTCTTCGACCGAGTGCTCAGGGGTGGGAGGCCCTGGGTTCCTGTGGGTTCTGCCAGCCAGCGTCATAGCGTCTGGGACGTGCTCATAGGCTGGCGTGCAGTTGGATGGATGAATGGAAAAAGAAGCGCATGCTCAAATGACGAATTCCAAATGCAGTTCATTGATGTCCGTGAGACTCTACAACTCTTGGATCTCTTGGAGAGCACAAAAGTATTACTGCTCTTAATCCTGAGAGAAAAGCACAGCACATTCACTCATTTATATGAGGGAACAACCCCAGGCCATCCAGCTAATAAGCTTTAGCATATTTAACCTTCTCTGCAGGGTGTGTGTGTGTGTGTGTGTGTGTGTGTGTGTGTGTGTGTGTGTACTGGGGCTTGAACTCAGGGCTGTGTGCTCTGGCTTGGCTTTCTTGCTCCAAGGCTGGTGCTCTACCACTTGAGCCGTACCTTTAACTTCTGGCCTTTTACTGTTGGATTTAGGAAAGTCTCAGAGACTTTCCTGCCTGGGCTGGCTTTGAATCTCCATCCTCAGATCTCAGCCTCTTGAGTAGCTAGGATGACAGGTGTGAGCCACCAGCCCCCAGCCCCCCCTGTAATCTTCACTGCAGCCCACACCGGGCATTTTAAATGCAGTAGGGACTTGGTATGAAAAGTCGTCCTGGAGAAAAGGCCTACAATGCAATCCTTGACTTAAGTTCACTTTGTGTAGTTCTCTTACTCTTTGTGTACGTTTTCCACATTGAGTTCTCTTCTAGGGAGAGCTGCCTGGACAGACTTAAAGTTTTGAAACTCACTGTTTATCATATTCTACAAGGTCGGGGCAGGTTTATTTATTTTCCCAACTGGAAGGAAAGTATGATTGGATAATTTCCAGCATCCTTAAAGTCCCTGAGTTATGAAACGATCAGTGAAAGCTAACACAAGTATGAAGTGCCAAACATCAGTCTGGAGAACACGGGAGCAAGGTCACTTTGCTCCTGGGGATCATTTTATGTTTCCCGTGTTCTGGAGGAACGGTGAGGAAGAGGTTCGAGGGTGGGGCCTGCCTGTGTGGGCGCGGCCCTGGCAGAAGGCCGGGACCTTGACCCCATCCAGATCTGTCCCGGCAGCCCACCCCCGCGTTCCTGCGCTGCCGGCATACGGGGCCCTTGTGATAGATCGCCGTCTTGTGAGATTCTTCCCTGA